TAAAAACTTTTCAAAGTTTTGTAATTCCTTAAATCTCCATTCCCACCTCTCCCCACTTCTTCCCAGAGCAGATTCTTAAAACCCCAGCAATTTTTTTCATTTCCCTGCCTACTTGAAAAATTATTGACCGATCTGCCAGGAGTAATGATCCAATCACCAATTGGACTCAAACCCAGCTCAAATGCTAGCTACTGTATGACGAGTTAATACCTGAGTAAAAATAAGAACCAAAAGTATTAAATTAAAGTATATCTATTAAATTCCCATTATCCAAAATTTAAATGCATGCTACATACATGTCACTGAGGTGGTTCTGAAACAATCTTGGGGCCCGGTTGCATATGGCGTTGTCTACCCTATCACATCGACAATCTGCCGGTTCTGCTATTCAGGTCTGTCAGCTGTTTCGTTCGATCGTTGAATTGCTCGGTAACAGAACTTTAAAAGATCCAGTGCACTTCTTCTACATTAAATGAACCTATGGTGTTGATTTCCAAACACATTCAAAGTTGGAAGGAAGTTAAAGGATAGCTGAATACCGTGGAATCCTGGTCGGCTTAAACATTCCGCCATCTTAAATTAGTCACGCTAAAAGCATGCGCACTGGGTTCTTGCTTGGGCGTTAAATCGTTACAGTTCCCAATGCACCTGAGGTCCGATTTTGTTATCCCTCGAATGATTACAGACCGAATTGGACGACATGAATTCCTGTTACCATTACACAAAATTTTTCGGCCTCGTGTTGTTAAGACTGACGCGTTTCCTGCGAGTTTTGATAAATCTAAGAGCCTTACCTCTTGTCGAAGACAATTTCCTGAAGGTTGTTTTTTCCTCTCGCGCGCTTTAATAGGCAAGTTGACAGCACTCAAACATAACAGCTTGCAAGGGAAGAATGCCTTATTCATTGTAATCCTTGAAAAAAAGCACACTCAAAAGGTCATGTCATTCTGAGTTCCTTTTTAACCAGTTTTTCTCGGTCCTTCCCTTACCTTGCTCTCTACTTCGCTCTTTAGTTTAGGTCACAGCGTTGATCTCAGTCCATAAATTGCGTTGTAGAATCCAATGGAATCTGCAATAGTTCCCTCGAGTTTAGCGAAATTGCCTCATTCAACGTCAGTTTTACGGGGAAAAAAAGAAAAGATTTTCGGGCGCCATTAAAGGGAACAAACATTTTAATCATCACAACTTTTTAAATTTTTTTAACACTCACTTGAATTTACTTAGAGTGATTTACCTTACCATTTAAAGTAAACAAAGAAGAGAAACCTGCGTAGATTATTGATCAAAGAGTCTGACAGTCAAAAAATTGACGATTACTCCCATTCAACTACAAAAACAGACCTTTTAGAGGGCTGTGTTGAAAAATCTTGCGGAGTGTTCGTACGGAGACTGAATTTTGAAATGCTAAATGCAAAAAGTCGGAAATAGTTAATTTTTGTCTTACCTCGTGGGGGTGTGATTTTAAGAGTTTGTGAGTTATTCCAAAGCCGTTTTAGTCCATCGTTCTTTGTGGAAAATATCACACCATGGTAAACTCATCTGGCTAGAATTTGTAGCAACTGTTGATAACTTTCCAATTTTTCTGTCCCTTTCTCAGAAGTTTTCCTCAGCGGAAGTGTGTGCGTACAATTAGTTACTTTTCCTTCCTTTGCTCGCCGACCTTCCTTAAAGAAATTCACGGAGAAACGTTGTGAAATAAGGAAACGCAATTTTCTCTCTTCTTATTATGTGCAATGGGAACCTGTTCAGAAAAGAACCCAAGCTGAGATAAGCCCCGCACACGAACGAATTCGCGGAGACGAATTTCACTCTATTCTTGAAACGACGACACACTAAATCTTGGTCAGGTTTGGAGAGAAAATTTCGTTTCCTCAAGAGGCGGTTCTACGGTTAAAAAAAAAGAGCAAATGTTGCAGATACAATAGAATACAAAAGCCGTAGGTACAAAATCTACAAGCAAAACATACAAACCCTATCAGCGTTTTTCGTATTCAAGAAACGGCACAACTTGAACTTGAGCGCTAACTGGACTAAAACTAAACGTGCAAGGTGCAAAATGTGCATAATGAAGGATGTTTAAGTGTTTAGGATTCCCTTGTGACCTAACTTTTGGTAGTTCGTGCATACAACGAAAACAAAGAAAATACTACCAGACAGAAAGATGCTTATGCACATACCGCAGTAACTACCAAGCTGAGATAAGATCGTGTGTATCGACCACTTTGCTCAATCTGTTGTTATTCAAATTGAGGCCAGGAAATGTGCGTGCAATGCGTGCACAGGCATCATTCACGAATCATACCACTGTTTAGAAATTTTTTTAGTCAGATTAAAATTAAAGTAGCTGTTTAGACTTCATCCTGTTCTCAGTTGTTAACTGCTGTAAATTGACAAGATGGGGTTACTTTGGATCTAATTTTTTAGCATTATCATTTTTTGTAAAATCGAGCAAATGGAACAAAAGTTCAATCACCAACACGTGCATATCAACAATCGCCAAGCAAACTAGAAAAGCTCCCACACTTGATAAGTCATCAGCTTTGTGTGGCAGGTAACATTCATATAATGAAAACTAATTGCATTATGTGACTGGCTTAGTTTATTCGGATTTTAATTTTTTTTTCTGTTTGTGGATTTTTTTGTTTGTGATACCATTTTAATGGTGGTTTTTGTGATCTACTGGTGAGTCACAGAAACAGACCATTACTAGGTTTATATATTTATGACGTGTCCTGTTAATTGCTACGATATCCATGTCGAAAGCGTCATGTGAGGAAGCAGATTAAGAAATTATGGTCAGTCATTTTGAGCTCGATAATGAAATAAAGAAGCGCTTTGATCACAGAGCTGCTCAATCAAGAGAGATTTTGGGTTATTAGTCAAATATGCTCAGTTTCCCGCCCTAACAATCGGCTGATCAATGACGTCGGCACCAGATTCATTACCCTCTATGACATCATAATCACTTCTCGTTTTGGCTTCCGTCAGCAAGGAAGTAGATTCATTTGGAGAGGTGAACTTGAATTCGGGAAGCTGATCTAAAAAATAACGTAAAAAGTTGAAAAAATCATGACGAATAACGTCCAAACTTGTTGTTATAACGGTGGGCGAAAGCTCCGATGCGAGCCACAATGAAGAGCGCGAAAAATGGACCTCGAAAAATGATTTCATAGCCGTCATGTGTCGGTTATGCTGTCGGCCCAAGGAATATTTGGTGTTTTCCGTATCTTTGTTACAAGAACGGTGGAGGTTGTTGTATCTGCAAGGAACCAAAGACGAAAGACCGATAAAAAATTTCGGTAGACGCCTTATGGGATACACACACGAAAAGACAGGCTCAAGAGGTTTTAAGCAGGAAACCGAGAGGTTGTAATGGGGAAATTCAAGAATTGCATTGTGTCAATAGATACGAAGCCCTAAAGTCGTGAGACAAAGGGTTTAACAAGCACAAAAAGTTTATGTACACGTGAGTCGATAGTTTTTTTGACTTCCTCTACAAAACTACAGTGAAGTAAAATGACTAATATCGGCGTCGCTTGAAAAACGTTGAACACATCCTCTGTCGTCTTTCCGAAGTAACTTCGAAGGAGTGAGTCGATCTAAATATTTATTTCCTTCTCAGAGGGCACTGTAATGAATCTTGCAATCTGATTGGTTCTTTGCGCGGTCCATATTTTCCTATCTCTACCCACGGGCACGGTAACGCTTTCGTGAGTCACCGAGAACATCCCTAGCTTCGTTGCCATCTGTTTGATCCCGTTTTGTAGCTTTATAGACAGTTTAAGCTTTTTAAGCAGGAGAATTCTCTTGGTTTGAACCTCTTTCACCATAAAAAGAAATCGCCGATCAAATATATAAATAAGTTGCGATAAGCCAGTTTAGGCGCACATTGTAATATCCAAATACCTTTACCACCTTTCGATCATATATCCATCTTACATAGCATAAATCAAAGGTGGGGTCCAACAGCATACGCAGACTGACCAATCAGCTGCCAAGTCAGATCGGCGTATCTTGCACTCCAGTAGTTGGGGCTGTAGTTTTTCCCAGCATCTCTCGCAAAGGCTTTCTTTGAAAATAAGACCTAATAAAGCTTTTCATCTCTAGCTTCTTATATCTATAAAGCAGTCGGTCTATTTTTAATTAAAAGTTTAAACAGTGTAAAATGCAAATTTCGTACTACAGAGGTACATAATGAATATCTTAGGGTTGTAATAATTGCACTCAAAATGACCATGTTCTCCTTATTCCTTTCAGGCTTTTACCACGAGAAAGTACAAGGATCATTTTCCCTGCTGTAACGGCTAGCGGTTAAAATTTTGGCAATTTTACGGCTAAAAGTAATTTCTTTCCCTTAAGGTCAACAGAAATGTTAGCAAGTTAATTAAATTATTTTAAAAGGTTAATAATCCTCTTTTAGTGTTCTAAAACACACTTATACGTTGTTTACTTCGTGCTTCTTAGGTTAATTCTGAAATGAAAAATATAAAAAATAGTTAATAATAAATAAATAAATAAATAAAACTTTGAGATTTTTCATGGACATGCATGGTGTACTTTTTCAGTAACACTCAAGGACTTGATTGAGCCAAATGTCTTTGTTTTCTTTACTAGGATAGATTGTTTAACCGTAGTAACTGCATTAGCCACAAGACAAGACACGTACCAGTCCAAGAAACTTTGAAAGTGACACATCTTTCATAGGAAAACATTTTACGGTTAACTTTTTCACGACATACGATTACAATTGATTAACTTTCACGTCAAACGGCTAAATTTTTTGCCTACAGTTAACTCCATTGAGAGCCTCCTTACATTGGTCTGCTCTTATCGAGCCACCGTACACCGTATGGTATGCCTGTGGAAGTGTAGCATGGCGTTACCATTGGTCAGATACTGTGACACGCTGATAAGCTCCAGCTGTGTTATTTGCCGTTCACAGCCCCACCGTACTTGAAGTGAACCTTCCACTGGCGTCGAGTCTAATCGAGTTTCCCTGACAAAAATGGCTGAGAGCAAGGGACCAGGTATGGGAATGTGCGTGAAAGGAAACGAAGGATTAATCGAATGATCTAAAATTGTGCCGTAATTCAGCCACGCTATTGTCGCATTTGTTTGCCTCGATCAAGAGTTTGGTTAAGCAAGCTTTGAAACAATGTCGTTTTTTGTGTTGAAACAAAATCATCTTCATTTCACTCCAGAATTTTCATTTATTTAGCGAAAATAATTGAAAATCAATCGGTAAACGCGATAGAGTAAACTTTTTCTTCGCAGATTCCCCTCAAAAACACTCAGATAAATATATTCATAACCCTTTGTAAGACGATCCGCTTAAATGCAAATTTTATCAAATTCAAGCCTCGACTTTCATGTCAAATAGTTTACTCGTATGTTCCTTACTCTTCATCGAACAGGATTTTTACAGACAATGTTTAGAAGCAAGCTCTGAATTTACGTTTTGTGTAGGACCCCATTTGAGTTTCTCTGTTGTACCCTCAATTAAATATCGAACATGTTTACTGCCGTATTGATTCGTAAGCAGTCTAAGTAATAAGGTGTGGAAAATTTATTTTGTTCAAGTGAAGTCTCTACTCTTTCGGAATCCACTAGTCAAGTTCTGTTGACGACCTCGACCTATTTGACCTTGAAACTGAAATTAATCGCTATATTTGCCATGACTGAATGAAGCGTTTTGAGAACTTGGATGAACGTATGTAAGAAAGGATGGGTAATCGAAAGTTTCAAGCTCGTTCTGTAGCGTGAAATGGCAGGAGACTTGATCCTGGATTGCTGATTAATATACTTAATGCGTTTTGATATCGTAAGATTCCTAGTTGGAGATATTCATTTCCGTGAATGTCAGTGTATGATACCCTATTCGACAACTTAATTTACCGAAGTAAAACTGTATTGAGTTAAAGGTGTCACGTAAATGGCGTGACCTCATGAGTGACAGACGTGGTTCATATGTAGTTAGAGGTTTGCCTAGAGACAAGTCGCAGTCGCTCAAATTTCTCCCTTATTTTACCTTATATTCGGTGAAGTGTAATACTTACAAGCGGCTTATCAAAGAATTCTGGCTAAAATATTTCCTGTTTGAGTTTTGTGACACCAGTGTTGTTTGTCCATCAAAACAACTTTAAAAGTGTTTACCACTAAATTTTAATTCTTAATTCTTAATTTTAAAGCGGTTTTTCTTTTCCGAAAAAAAATTAATAAAATTAGAATTCTCTGTAGCCGGTCAAAATAATTGAAAAATGATCTCTGCGTTGGCGCCCATTCCAACATTGACTTACAACTTTGGAAAATTAATTTGTTTATATATTTTAGTTAGCTTCAGGTTGCTGAAGTAAGTTAACATTTTGCAATTTTTCTCTATAGTGACTGGTATTTTATTTCTTTCTACTCCTTTTTATAGAAAAGCTTTACAAAGAGCCAGCAGTCCGTGTACCAACCCTCTCGCGTCTTTCTACGATTGCAAAAAGCCTGGGCCTCGAAATGGAAGAGAGTGAGCTAATGGCTTATCGAGGTGGGAATCTTAGTAATGAGTTATTACTGGGTCCAAACTGGGTCCGTAATAATCAATTATTATTTGAAGTCAAGCTGGTCGGAGAAAGAGCAGCATAAACCACTGATGATATCGATGAGAGAGAAAGTACTTTGAAATTAATTAAGCTTCTTTTCGTGCATGTAAATTCCTTCCCATGTTTATATGTTTTCACGGATAGATAAATATATTTTTTACCCAAACTTTCGTGTTTTTACGCTATTCGATTGCATATTTTTAAGAAAACTGACTCCGATCAATCATACTAATGATATATAAAGAACATCATTTAACAAGGATGCATATAACAGCGTGAACTGGTAACTAATGGCCCTCAAGAATCATCGCAATTTACTTTTTTTGTTATTGTTATTATTATTGTTGTTTCTATTATTTGTTGTTGTGGTTTTTTTCCAGGGGCAATTTCCGATATTCTGGCTGACACGTATCAGCGGTTGTACGAGTTACCCGACCCCAAGCTACCAGTGAAATATCCACGGACCCCAGGTTACAGACCATCACCAGAAGACAATCCTTACAATGCTTGGTAAGCGAAATGTCGGAGGAAAAGATAAATTCGCCGCAATCCCTTTGTATGTGATATGGCCCTTTCTATTAAAAAAGCTCTTATAATGCTAATATCAACCTTTTATCTTTGCAATATTAACTGGTAGAGAATATTAAGCTGTAGGCAACGTAGACATTTTACAATAGTATATGGTTTCAAAGTATCATTCAAACTATTTTATTTCTGCATTTGTCGTATTGTGAGCGATATCAGGAGCCACTCTCAGGAATATCAAGATTGCACCGAAGGAATTTTGCTTTAGGGAAATAAAATCCTGAGGGGTCCAGAAAGGCCTCATACGCCTGCTTGGTTAGCCAATAAGAAGCGTACCGCTCGTACCGTACCCTCGAACGAGTCGATCCGCACTCAGCCAGGACTATTCGTACCCACAAAGGAAGAAACGTCTGTGGGTACGAAACGACTGGATACTAATTAGAACACGTTATGCCAGCCTATATAACAAGTTAGAAGATTTATCTCAAAAAGTTTATAAGTTGATTTAAAGAAAGCGATATGCTATGTCGGTGATCAACTGAGACAATCAGTTGGTTATTAATTACAGTCACGAAACCCTTGTAACGAATTTGGAAAGCGAACGTTTAAAGCGTAGGTGCATAGGTTTTCAAAATTTGCCGCGGCGGTTGGTTAACAATATCTATAGTTGACAATCAGCTCGTGAATTTCAATCTTGGCTTTTCTTGAGGTATTCAATTGAAGGTATGATTCTCGCAGGTTAGATGCAAATAGGGATATCGCAGAAAAGAAACCTGACGTCTCGATGGGATTCGAAACTATGCGTTCGAGACACCTTTTGAGCGCTACACTAACTTGACAACAAAGCTACTAGTTGGGAACGACAGAATTATATTTGGATCAGATAAATATCATACTGCTGAAGCTATGCCTTGCTCTCAACATGTGGCTTCGTAGCCCAGTACACTAAACGAACGCAGGTGAAAAGATATTACATATCATTTGAGGTACTGGCGATGTGACATTAAAGGAGCATCAAGTGGTAAACTTCACGGCAAAACTGTCGCTGTCAAGGACAACACATGTGTGGCAGGGGTACCCATGATGAATGGCTCCCTCACCCTGGAAGGATTTGTCCCGGATGTGGATGCTACTGTAGTGACTCGGATATTGGATGCCGGTGGACACATAGTGGGGAAAAGTTGTGTTGAAAATTTGTGTTGTAGCGGAGGCAGTTTTACTGCTGCCACTGGTCCGGTGGTTAATCCTCACAATAAGACGAGAATGAGTGGAGGGTCGTCTTCAGGATCTGCAGCTTTGGTTAGTATGAACGAACAACAATGTCCCATCAACTCGTTACTCAAAAGAAATTTAGATACAGCTACGTCTAGGTGAATAGAATTGTATTTTCATTATGTGCATAACTGTCACCATATTGGTATAATCTCCTTCGTAAATAAGGAAACAAAGAACCTTCTATAATTCTCTTTCCTTTCCTTTTGATTCGACTCAGTTTCTTTTCATTCCGAGCACTCATATTTTCCAGACTAAAAACTGTCATTTATCTATTTTGAATAAATCTCATCGTTTGTTAATCCGTACGAACTGGACTCTCTCTTACAACCTTTCTTTCCCCTTGCTATTAAGGTGGCTGGAGGGCAAGTTGATATGGCAACTGGTGGAGACCAAGGAGGGTCAATAAGGATCCCCGCTGCCTGTTGCGGTATTGTGGGACTGAAACCAACATACGGGTTAGTTCCATATACGGGCATTATGCCGATAGAATTCACTTTGGATCATACGGGACCTATGGCCAGGACTGTGTATGATACAGCTCTGATGTTGGAGGTAGGGTTACTATGCACGATTTAATGTATATTTGACACGGATAACTTTGAATTTCCTGATATATCTATTTTTTGCGGAAAGAGGAAACTAGAATCTGCGACTTCCTTATGGAGGTTATAGGTGTTATGATTAAATAGAATCCCAATTTATCGGATTTTTTGTTTCTTGTCGGTCTATCTGATTTCTTGTATAATTGTATGCCAGCGACTCTGGGCAAACATGGTAATCATAGCAGATGTAGTTATTGAGCAATAAATCGAAATATTCTACAAATTGCTTGAAATTTATGTTGGGAAAGGTTCTTTTAATTGTCCGGCTGTAATTGCTACCCGCCCATAATTTTGAGCCACCTGTCTTGGCTATTAAAATATTGATTCAATCATAAGTAATGATGAACTAGTCCAGTCCAGTCTTTCTTATAGGTCATGGCAGGGTATGACGGGGGACTGGACCCTAGGCAGCCACGGGATCTCAAAGTGCCAGAGTATACTTCGTTGGTAGGTCTGCTCTAGAATTGTACGAGCCATAAATCATGCACGAAAAAAAAAAGCGGAGGGACAGCGATGCGTTCTGTGTCTCTTCTCCAATTAGAGTCCAGAAATCATTCGTGTTTCCTTGGTAAATTAGTCATTGGTAAGGCCCCGGTTGAGCGAAAGGTGGATAGCGCTAGCCACTGGATAGATCTCTATCAGTTGGACAGTGCAGAATGTTTTGGCCAGCGATTTATTCGTTGGATAGCGTTACCTGCCCTTTGAACAACTTGCCCCAGTTGTAGAAGGAAGCTTCGTGATGGAGAACGGAAAAAAGAGGCTGATGCGTGTGTGTAGGAGGGGGGGGGGGAAATTGCGGAATTGAAACTAGCTACAAACAATGAGTGCTGAGAAGCTAAAAACACCGTGGTAATGGGACATGCTTCAGTCTGATACCAAGAAAGGTTTCTTGAGCGATACTTTGATTTTACTGACTGCATATGAATCGTGGTGGGCAACTCCACTTACGCTGTGCCATACGTCAGGCGGAGACACTTGGGCTTGAGCGTTAGGGTTGGGAAAGGAAGAAGTTGATTGAAATAGAAATGTGTCTACCGTCATCACTTGTCTGTTTTAATCTGAAAACCCAAATATTATACCTTGGTATTAATTTTTTTTAATGCAAAGTGATTTGGTCATGATCAGCTCACAGGAAAAATAGACAACTTGAAGATTGGAATCTTGAAAGAAGGCTTTGGATTGAAGAATTCCGAAGCGGATGTGGATAAGATGGTTAGAGAGGCCGCTGAACAGCTCGGCACTGCAGGCGGTGCAGTTGTCGAAGAAGTGTCTGTCCCGATGCATTCTGACGGTAAATCAGAATTTTGTGATTGTTTATGGTCCTACATGAGATAGATAATCTATATTTATACTTCTCTGTCATATATCAATTTTGTACCGTTAAAATGGATAATTTTATTTAATAAAAGATTACAAATTAAATAAATGTCCAACAAGCTGTTGCTATTGGCGATGACCCGAGAATTTCGGCAAGCTTAAAAACGTTCTAGTTCTTTTAAACATTGTTGGTTACTATGGTAATCGCCTCAAGGTCACATAAACTTCTTTTCTTTTTATTTATTTGCCTGTTTCTGTTTCTTTGCTTATCTTATCGTTTTCTTTGGCCATACGTTTATACATTTTTAAAGGTACGCAAATATTTGGTCCCATCCTGCAAATCGGAGGCGATCGAATGATGTTTGAAGGAGCCGGTGAGACATTTTTTAATTGTTATACTGTTATGTTCCATACACGCATTATGATTTGACTTTTGCGGGGGGTTCCAAGGGGTGTTCCTAGAGAAAGTTTCGGATGAAAGAGTCAATTCAAGCGCTTTCTTGGTGTGTATTTGTCTAGCAGTTGGTGCTTTCACCGGTGAAAATTTTGCTCAACAGTTATCAAAGGATCAGAAACAACAATGATTTTCCCTCGAATTGATCCAATTAATTTTACAGTTACCTTTTTATTTGGCGACGTTAGACGGTAGAGGTCTATGTTTTATCCATTATCATGTCAAGCCACGTGGAGCAAGTCACGATCATTTACGTCATTTGATATGATGTGATGTATGGTCATGACGTGCATGACGTGTCAAATTTGTCATGATATATGTGATGTCATTTCATGTCATTTTGTTTCTAGAATTGCCACATCCTGTCAAGTCATTTGTTATCATCCAGTTATGTTGTACTTGATGTCTTGCAGGTTTTGGAACTTCAGCAGAGATGTATTACGACACTACTCTACAGGAAGCCTTCTCTCGAGGCCTAAAATGCCACTCAAATGACCTGTCAAAAAGCTGCAAACTTGTTCGGCTGATCGCCAAGTATTTGCACGAGGATTACAACAGTGTATTCTATGGAAAAGCGCAGAACCTGGGTCGAGAGCTCTGTAAGGCGTACGATGCAGCACTTGAAAAATACGATGTATTGATTCTACCGACCATCCCCAAGAAGGCACCAGTTTTCCCGCAGGAAAATCCTCCCATGGAAGGTCAGATTTTAGCTATTTCATTATGTCAATGATAAGTAGAACGGAATCGTAGAATGTAAGAAACTGATGAAGTACAAGCCCTCAAAAATAGGATAGGGATTACATTTGTTCCAAAACAACAAGCCGTAATTAATATCTGGGTGAGGTGTCTCTGAGATGTCTAAAGGTCGGCACATACGAGGGTAGTAGTGCTTGCAACTAGTCCCTGCGACTAGTCCTCTGAAGAGTTTACATGAAGGGACTGGTCGCAGGGACTAGTCCCTAGTAGTGTTTACACGCGGGAACCAATTGCACAGGAAAGTAGCAAAAACTAGGGGGGGAAACGGTATCATTCTATCACTCTGCAGCTTTCTTAAGAAACCAAAATTATTGAAATAGCAATGTAGCATTGAATGAAACAAACAAACAAACAGGCAAAACTGACCCATCTTTGTGTGAGAACCTGTTTTAAAGAAAAAAGATTTATTAGCTGGACAATCTGTTATAAGTCTCCAATGAGTCATTAACAATCCGCTTCTAGTAGTGTGTATTTTTTTAAAAGTTATTCATTTATTTACTCATTTTTTATTTTTTAATTGGATCCATCTGTTTTTTTACATGGAATTATCACCGCAGCTTATACGCAGTGTATTTCTTCCCTTTTTGTGCGCGGAATCTAATTGTGGGAAAGACTTTGAGGAAAGGAGAATAAGTACACTGATAAATTGATTAATGTTGTCTTATTTCAGAACTCTAGACTCAGGTTTTTCATTTCCTGGGAGAAGGATATTTTTTGACTTATCAATAACTGGGCCATTAATTCACTAGGAGATTCCATGAAATACTAATAACCCTTTGCAATATATTTTGCAGAATATCTGGAGAGGGCATTTGAAAGTATTCCAAACACATCACCAACAAATATCACAGGACACCCAGCCCTGTCAATCAACGCCGGCTTCAGTGATGGCTTACCAGTCGGTATGATGATCGTGGGAAGAAAGTTCGACGAGGTCACTGTTCTAAATGTCGCCTTTGCTTACGAGAAGATTAGAGATACCAAAATATAACATTATGAGATGTCTATTAATGAGCCCAGGACTACAAGGAGTTGTTTCACTCTTAAAAAATAACGTTTCGAGCGTTAGCCCTTCTTCCATCGCTCTGACGCTCTAACTATTGATAACCGACAAGCGAAAATCTTAATAAGCGATCAACTAGTAATTTATGGAGTGACGCAACATCTAAAAAGTTATTCACCTCTACTAACTTAACAATTTCATTTCTAAATTATGGTAAAACGACTAAATTAAGCCAGATATTCATGTGCTGATTGAACGAATTTGTTTCCGGTTTTTTCGTCTCATTAGCAAATAAATGAGTCTAAAGAATTTAAACAAAAGGTGATGACAGTTACGGGAGCAATTCTTTCATTACCAGAGGTAGCTGAAATGACACGTCTCGTTAGCCTAAAAAAGAACTTGTTGAAGTTGTTTAGTCTAAGGATATATACTTTAATATCTCCGCCGCGCAATTACAGGCCGTTGCACTATGTGGAATTATTAACTGTGGGCTTCCCTTTTCTTGGTCTCAGTTTCCATGGGTTATTTTCTTTGAATCTTTCCTTTAGAAACAGTCAAAGGAGAGGCCCTTTGCCGTTTGTTATTGTTTGAATAATGATAGGCCTGCGGCCGTTTAGCATTGCGTGACCGTCGGACAAATACTGTGCTCCAGCTGAATAATTTGCTAGTTGCCGTTTATAGTCCTTCCGTACTTCCAAACGGCTTTGAGTCTCATCGAATTTTCTTGATCAAAATGGCTGGAAGTAAGGGACCAGGTATGTGAGTAACCGATATAATTATAAGATAAAACTAGACGCTCGAGGAGCGTTCACTCGGGCTTCTTATCAAGCGTTTTACTTGAGCATTCACCACTGGATAGTTTGCTATAATGGAGTCGTAAGCACTAAAACATGAAACGACCTAAAACCACCTAAAACCACCTACAACCACCTCAAAAATTTCAACAACCACCTCAAAAATATCTACAGCCACTCGCAAACCATCAAAAGCCATCTAAAACAAGGCATAAATGTCTATAATAAGGCAAGACGACAACATGTCACGTACATGAAATGCGAGAATCGAACGAAACCTCCACCTCCCCCTGAAATCGTACTCTCCCTGGTCCCATGTATAATCAACCATCTCACGAAATGAAATGCGAGAGCATGGCAATTATATTTTATATTCCCTTCAGTAGTAAACTTTACAAGCAGACGTTTTGGCTCGCGTTTCACTTGATTACGTAATGGTCCGAGGTGGTGTTTTTCTCCATTTATAAACTCAGCACCGACAATGCAATTGGAACAAAACGTGACTCCGAAGGTACGCACAGTTCGCTTAAGATATTTTTAAAGACCATTCTTATTCATACTTTTTCTGGACGGGAACCAAAACGTTTGCTGGTACCCAGGGTAGAAAAAGCTAAGTCAAGTCAGTCTTTTGACAACGAGTTTGTTATTTTACTTTATTATTTTTTGTAACTTGATAGTTCATATTGTAAAGTTCTTTAAGTCTTTTACTACTGAGGGAGTATGAAATATATGAAATATAATTAGCATGCCCTCGCATTTCATTTCGTGAGATAGTTGATTATACATGGGGCCAGGCAGAGTAAGATTTCAGGGGGAGGTGGAGGTTTCGTTCGATTCTCGCATTTCACGTACGTGACATGTTGTCGTCTCGCCTTATCATAAACATTTATGCCTTGTTTTAGATGGTTTGCGAGTGGCTATAGTTGTTTCTGAGGTGGTTGAAGGTGGTTGTTGAAATTTTTGAGGTGGTTGTAGATGGTTGTAAGTGGTTGTAGGTGGTTTTAGGTCGTTCCATGTTGTAGTGCTTACAATTGACTCTAAGTATGTCTCGCATACTGGGGCTCAATATTCATTTAAGGGGTCATCATTTTCTTTTTCATTACTATTTAATTTATCGTTTTCTTTTGCATCAAATTCCAAAGCAGGATCACTATCTGTTGTGACATTTTTTTATGTAGCCTGTTGATGTGTATCTTTATCGTCTGCATCTTTTTGTAAAATTGTGAGGTTGCTATTAATATTGTTAATATCAACTAGTATGTCTTTGTACCATGGATTATGTACTTTGAGCCAGTTAAGAACTTGCTGTATTAACTCTGGTGGTGATACTTGTAAATAAACATGTCCTCAAGATTGTAACTTTCTTTTAAGCTCAAGTATTATTATACAAGATGTATCAGGTAGATGAGGGAGTTGATTACATGTCTGATCACATTCTACAGGTACATTGCATATTGCCCCCTTAATTTTTCTCTGTTGTCCTTTATGCATGACCACAATCTTCTCCAAAGCTATTTGTATTTGTTGTAGTTTTTCTAATGAGGATAGTTTTGTGGGTATTTCATTCCACTTACATATTATTCACTACAGCCTGACATGGTAATTTTCCTTTTATGACCTTTGAATGACATGTGTTGCATATACACTGTTTTCCATGAAATGACTGTTGAATATTGAAATATGTTTGGCAAGGGTACTTCTCGTTTATGCATGTTATTACTGATTTCTTCTAAAGTACTCGATTATAGACAATACATATAAAACAAGGGCCTTGTCTTATTTTCCTCTTAAACTGGTTAATACACAATTCAACCGATCTGGCTTTCACTAATTTCTCATTGGGTTGGGAAAGTAATTCTTTCTTCTTTCTAGCATCCATCGCCAGTAGGGGAGTTAACACAATGAACCAAGGCACGTCCAGATAGTGAAAGGCTTTAATCGCAACAGGGGAACTAGACTCCGAACGAGTAACAAACAATATGGCGGACGCGACGAGGAGGAAAACCGTCAAAAGGGCATGCTCAACCCAGATACCGCTGACCGGTACTGGCGTGACTTCTTTCTTCTTTTTTTTTTTTTTTTTTTTTTTTTTAAGAGAAACAAGAACTAAAAACAAGTTAACATACACTTAAGACTAACTAACAAATTGACACGCGCGGGCGAGTCAAAGTTCAGAGTTTAAAGATCGGTGTTCAAAGTTCAGTGTCATAATCTGCAAAACGAGAAGGAGGACGGCGGGTGCGCGATGATCTCCGTAGGGCAGGCGGAGAAGGCACCGCTGAGGCGGCTGCATACTCCACTGGGGAAGGATCAGGGCAGGGCGACTGTGTGTAGAAATCATCCATGGTATGGTCAACGGGAGAGGCAGGGGCTGGACTGTAAGACTGAGGGTTGACAACTGGTGGGTGTGTGGAAGCTGCGATGGCCTCAGGGATGGCAGGCAAAGAGGGGGAGGGTGAGTCGTTGTAGTAGGACCATCTTCGTCGTCGGAATCAGAGTAGTGTTTGCGTAGGGTCGGAGAGGCACGGAAGGGATCACCCAAGTCAGATGGGACCTTGAAGCACTCAGATAGCTTGACATGGTACGATGAACTTCGCAACTGGGATCCAATGAACTTTTGATGTTGCAGAATGGAGGATCAATGGCTACAACGAGATAGCGGTCACGAGCACGAGACTTGTTGAGGTCAGAATGGAGGTACACAAGATCACCAATATCGATCAGGGGGGTAGGACGCCTTGACTGACCAGGAGCTTTGGAACGTTCACTGAGGGGATGGTTGGAGAGACGCTGTTCATGCTGGAGGGGAAATTATGTGGTCATCTGCGAGGGGTAACTGCTTGTTTGAAAACTGATCCCGCTGGGTCCACATTTCTCGAGAGGAAAGCCCTCTTGAACGGATACGTGAGTTTAAGGCTGAAGTGGCTACGGCGAGGGTGAGGGGAGAGACAGAACTACCGAGAGGCTCCTGACGTAACAGCTCATTCTCCAATTCCTGGACCGCTCTCTCTGCAACGGGTTCTTGTTGGGATTTTTGGCATGGCCAAGCTCAATTGTGATTCTGTGTTTCTGTAAGAGTGAATCATTGACAAGGGCCTTGAATCCGGGAGCAGGGTCGGTGCGGATCACAGCAGGTGGACCATCCATTGGGCGCATTTCCACGCAAAGCTTTATAATGGCATCACGCAAAGTTTGGTGGCGTTCGTTCTCAAGAAAGAGACTGGAAGTGTAAGAGGTCACTGTTTCACGGAGTACAAAGATAAGTTGGCGAGAACGTTTTATGACATCTGCCGCAAAGGACTGCCCAACAGTTTCAGGTGGAGGCGAAGTGGACTGGTCAATTCGTGCTGTTGGTGATCTCTGAATTGCTGCACAGGAGTGGCATCCATCGGAAACACGGGAGACTGCCTTGTCCAGGTCGAGGGCGAACAGATAACGCTTGGTAACCATTTTTAACTGGTGACAAGAAGGGTGGCTGAGCTGAATGTGAAGGGCTGTCAAGAGGCCATCCAAGGCCTGGCGAGGGACAATGATACACTCTCTGGTCGGTGACAAGGGATCATGACGTTGGACGACGAGCAGGCCATCACTTGCGATTGAGGCGACCTGCAAATAGCGTTTGACGTCCTTTATGTTTGTGAGCTTCTTGGAAGGTCTTGTGCCTTGGACAAGGTGTGCGTGCGTGCGGCGTAGGTCTGGGCATTCAGACTGTATGGCCAACCAGGCCGGACGGCTGGTGAAAGGGAGGCGGGCATTGCCTTGGAGGATGTCCTGGACAGTCGCGGCTCGGAAAACAGAATCTCTGGTTGAGGCGATAAACAGGCAAATCTGACAGGTTTCATTCTCACAAGGAGCAGCATTTCGACTCGCGAAGTCTGACTGGAGGATAGAGGCGCCGGAGACGTGTCGCACTGAGGCCTGGTAGCGGCTGACAACTGACAGGAAAGTAGATACGCGAGGACTTGCGGAGAACTCGCCGCGGCATAGCTTCTCATAAGCCTGGACGCATGGCTTACTGTCCGTTAGGATACAGGCTTTATTGGATGACTGGATGAGGTATGGACTGAAGTGCTTTGTAGCCGCAGCGATGGAGAGGGCTTCTACTTCGTACGGAAGCCACGTTGTCTGAGTGCCCCGCAGCTTAGCGCTGAAAAAACCGGCGATGTGTAGCTTGTTGTTGCGCGTCACATAGAGGGTGGCGCCTATTCCTGGGTCCTTGACTGCGCCATCGGTGACGACCCATAGTTGGTCCTCAGGTCTAGGTAAGGTGATAGAGAGGGCTGAGGATAGGGCCTTCTGAGCGTTATGGAATGCAGCCCTGAGACTATCAGACCAGGTGATGGATTCTTGTGAAGTACGTCCAGCCGTGACGGCATCCAGCGGGGTTAGATAACTAGAGCACCGTGGGATAACACGAGACAGGACTTTGTACGCACCAATGAACGATCTCAAACGACCAACAGTGTTTGGCACAGGGTACGTGGCGAGGGTGTTGAGGCGGTGGGCACTGGCAGACAGGGTACCGGCGGACCAAATCCAACCAAGGATAGTGGTTGACTTGGGGTTGATTATGGTCTTGTGGGCTGACAAACGCAGGTTGCATTTGTGAAGAGCTTGCAGGACCCTCTTCCAGTTGTGTAGTAACTCTAGAGGGGTGTTGCCCCCGCAGTATAAATCATCGGCGATCTTGGCCACGACTCCATCTTGAAGTAAGGGGCCTAGAACACGGCACATAACCTCCTCTAGAGCAGTCTCTGAGCCAGGCATTCCCATAGCGGAGCGGGCATACACCCGGACGCCTTTAAAGGGGGGTGGCGACACCGCAGTACTTCATGGACTCTTTGGCTAAAGGGATCTGGTAGAAAGCACTTGTAAGGTCAGCGACAATTATGTGTGACCATTGGGCGATGAGCCGTAATGTGGAGTCAACATCGGGTAGCAAGGATGGTTGTGGTTTGCTGTATCTGCCCACATCAGAAAAGGCGGTGACGAGACGGGAACCACCATTAGGCTTCTTTACAAGGAAAGATGGATTGAGGTATTCAATGGTGATACCCACATCTTCGGGGCGGCGGAAGACGCCAAGAATCTCTAGGTCGTCAAACTTTTCCTGGAGCTCGATGAGCTTATCCCGTGCGTATTGGGGAGGCGACCCTTCCGCTGAGGAGGTTCGACAGGACCCATGTTGACTTTGGCCTTGTATGCGCCAGCGGCTCCATTGTATCCGGGGAATTGCGGGTCAAATACAGTGTCGTACTCTGTAAGTAGTGATTGAAAGTCTGCACGAACGGTTTGGGGAAGGGTGTTGTCTGGATCAACCTGAACGGACGCAGAGTAACGTGTACTGGAGGGCGGCAACGGGCGCTGAGCAGTAGGTGGGGGTGATGATGGGACTTCGGGGGCTCAAAAACAGGGATGACTTGGCAGAAGTGTTCGTGGCGCTTGAGAGTGCGGGGTACGCTTGATAGGTTAGGAATCCGTATGGCTCGGGCAACGCTGGAAACGACACCAGGTTGTGGCCACAACTGGGATGGCTTCAGATTGTGTGCACTGGGTGCGTCGATGCGAGGCTCTAGTGCGTACTCCGAGTCAGAAGGTGCATCGTCTGGTAGACGTACTTCCATGAACTCTCCAGGCCACACTGTCTGGGATGGAGCGGGGGCACGTAGGACAAATGCTCTACGTGCGGTTGCATGAGGGTTAGGTGGGGATTTGGACCCATACGTGTAGACTGAGCCATTGCCTAGTAGTACCTCTCTCTTAGCGGGTCGGACAGCGATGTCATTCGTCTCCATAAAGGGGGTACCGGCAAGTACCTCAACATCAAGATTCTCAACTACGAGACCTTCAAACGCGAAGTTTGTGTGGTCCCGGGTGAAGGTGGTACGAATTTCTCCTATCACCTGGAGCTGAGACGAGCCATCAGCCTGTTGGACGGACTGGGCACTTGAGATTATCGGACAGCCGAGGTGTTTCGCGGTTGAACGGCGTATCATATTTCCAGTTGCACCGCTGTCGAGGGTGACGCGCACGACTCGATGATCATGAAAGACGTCCATGTAAGGGGACTGGCGGGTCTGCACACGGTAGGCCACCATGTCCGGGCCTGGCAATGTTGTGTCAGGGTCTGGTGAATCAGAATCAGGACTGGTCTCAATTTCTTGGTCATTGTCAAGGATGCCGGCGATCTGTCGTGCTTTCACCATGAAACGCCTGTCACTGTCGGGGAGGAAGGTACACTGACTGAGGAAGTGGTTTGTCATAGAACGGCCAGCCTGTTTACATAGAGGACAGACCTTGTCTTGGCGGGGTTGTCTGGGACGGGCTCTAGGAACACCCCTGTTACTCTGACGAGGGCGACGAAAATCGTCTGCAACAGCAGCACGTAGGATTCTGGCATCATCCGACGTGTGGATTTCCTCGAGTAAGGAATTGAGGGCCTGCGAGATCTCAGGTTTGATCGAGGCAAGAGTACGGGATCTCAACTCTGTACCATAACGCTGCTTAACCAGTCGTGGGAGACTGGGGTGAATGAGGCGTAACCAAGTGAGGACCAAAAAGTTTTCGAGTGTAGGGGTTAATTCCTCATCCTCCTGCACTGCTTGGCCATTGTGGGTTAAGCCGTTGGCACGTAGCAATGAATCTTCTACGAATGCTGTGAGGCGCTGGTACAGATCTTCGGGGCGCTCATCAGCAGCTAGGTGTATTTCGGAAAAGTCAATGAACTGAGCCCCGGTGACTTGGAAACCAAAGTGCTGTCTGATGGTTTGCCAGATGAACTCGAGGGATGTAGAGTTTTTCACCAGAGTATTTCGAGAGATAATTGGACAATAGTTGGCGATCTGTCCTAACATCAGTTCGAGGAAGTTAACCTTTTGGCGGGCTGTCAGGCGACGAGCTAATGGCACTGATTCGCCATCGTTGTGGAGACCTCGAAGCGGCTGACCCCTGGTCTTTTTTAACCATGTGAATCCATCTGCGAGGAAGGGGGCGAAGTTGCTGTCCAAAGAAAGAGTGTAAATGAGGTTTTGCTTCCAGTTTTCAAAGGAATTGATAGATTCCACTTTGGAGAGGCACCACTGCTTCGGTGCACGGTGTGTTGCAGCCATATTTCACGTTTAGGGCTCTGGAACGTGTTGACACGGCGAAGGATACACTGTTTTGGCTCACGTGGACGAGGCGAAAAATAGCCTTCTTCGGCGAAAATATGGCCTGGGTAGATCCCACCGCTGCCACCACGCCAGTAGGGGAGTTAACACAATGAACCAAGGCACGTCCAGATAGTGAAAGGCTTTAATCGCAACAGGGGAACTAGACTCCGAACGAGTAACAAACAATATGGCAGACGCGACGAGGAGGAAAACCGTCAAAAGGGCATGCTCAACCCAGATACCGCTGACCGGTACTGGCGCATAGTTGAATATTTTCTTTTAATGTCTTCTAGAAACCTTTTTCTGGCAACAGGTTCCATGCTATCATACATATGTTTTTTTCTGTGTTCTCTAATGATGTGTTTCCTTTCAATTTCAGTAATTTTACATGAACAGCAGATAAATTGTATATCATATTCCATAGTCTGACATTCCTGTTTATTTTGAATATTATTAATTTCCTCTGCTAGATTATCCACAAAGAGTTAATACTTACAAAAAAACCTCTGCTCAGAACCACAGGCCTCTCTACCAAAAGAATACTTTGTTTAAGTTTGATACTTTAGGTAACTTACTTTATTTGCAAAATAATTAACATTGAAGGCATCAGTACATACACATTAACACAACTGCCAAAATTTGTTTCAGCCAGAAACTTGTTTACTTTTTTCAATTATGAATAATCGTGATGTTATCCTACTCATTGATCTGTATGGCCTTGTACAAATGTATGACGCATATTTCTCTACTATTTTGTTCATGGAATGCCCAAGTTAAGATAAAATCTCTAATGATTATTGTCAGGACCACTGATTTGCCAAGCAACTGGGCTAAAACAGATTGAATAGCTGGCAATACAGAAAACAATGCTGAATACACCAATTGGCAACAGGTTCCATGCTGTCATACCTATGTTTTTTTCTGTGTTTCCTCATGATGTGTTTCCTTTCAATTTCAGTAATTTTACATGAACAGCAAATAAATTGTACATCATATTCCATAGTTTGACATTCCTGTTTATTTTGAATAATATTAATTTCCTCTACTAGATTATCCACACCATGAATGTGTATTGTCTGTTTCATTCAGCAGGTGAATGACTATGACTGTCTTCATATGTTAGAAGAGAAAACAATTGCTTTACTTTTGTATTTTGTTGACAAATACAAGCTATACAGTGACTTGAAATTCACATTAAAAATCCTTTTTTCCCAGCGTGGTTCCTTAAAATCAAGGTCTCAAAAGATATTCTGCTTTCAGTTAAATTACTCAATTCTCTGTTACTTACTTCATTAATGTGTACATTTATGTTAGAGCCAAAAATTGTAACACTGTCAGGCAGGGTAATAGATGTTAAGCAGTGCTTACTCTGCATTGTATTTTTAAGCTGAGATCCATTTTCAATAATTGCATCTAAGGTATTTGAGTTCCAGTAACTACAAGGTGAAATGATTGAGTAACATAGAACAAAGAACTACTGCAAAACAGTGGTCTTTGTAACACTTGTGTTGACCTGATATCTTTTTAATACCTCTCTTACATTGTTGCTTATTGGCATATCATATTTTGTAATTTGTTAACCTTTTAGTTCATACAGATCAGTCGCCCCATATAAACTTTGAAAGTGATGCACTAAGTTGTCTGTAGATGATATATCTAATAGACGACATGTCCCTCAAGAGTGACTTTTACCATAAACATCTCTAGCATGTGAGTTAAACACTTAAAAATGGCCATTATAAGCACAGTAAGTAATACCGACAGCAATACATCCAACTGTTAAAATATATGACCTATATCGTTTTGATATCAATGACTCAAAAGCTCTTTTCAGGCCCATACAGTATTAATATCCCTAAATGGTAGGCTCACCATGGACTATAACTTTCACTGTATTCTAGCTGGTAATCTTCCTCAAGTACTGTAAGCATTGATGGTAAATCTGTTAGCAGTAAAAATAATTGTCTTGATAATTGTGACAAACTGCTATATAGTTGACTTCCGATATGCATTATTTGTTTCGAGTCATAGGGATTGCCTATTCCTTCCATATTGTGGTATATTAATCCACATAAACTCATTACAACACATTCTTGCCCTGCATTTTGTCTGAAAATAACAACATCCCCTTGACTATATGGTACTTTCATTGTTTTCCTGGGATCCACAAGGTGCATACAAGGAACAGGGTTTCCTCTATATCATTATAGAGCTTGTTCTTTGTACAATTGCCTCTGTGAATTACACCCTTGAACTCACTATATGGGAAATTACACAAAAAGAACCTTAAGTATTTGAGATATATCTTTCCATGTTTATCTCTACTTGAATTATAGACATATCTCATTGAAGAGATAACGTTTCTTGTTCTGAAAACTGTCATTTGACATTTTAGTTAGTTCTAGTTGCTTTAGATAGTGAACATTTGTGCAAGTCTTACATCATATAGTAACTGATGATTTACTTTTCTCTACTGCTTTTAGAGAAGCTCTATAAAGAGCCCGCTGTCTGTGTACCAACCTACGCGCGTCTTTCTGAGATCGCAAATAGCCTGGGCTTCGAAATGGAAGAGAGTGAGCTGATGGCTTATCGAGGTAGGAATCTTGGTGATGAGTTACTGGTAATAATTTGATGTAAATTGTTATCTGAGTTCATCAATTTAATTTAGGTCCAACTTGGTCGGAGAGAAAGCAGCATAAACCATAATCGATGGAACACGACTTAACTTGCCACAGGCTTCCATCAATTACCCCTCCCCCTCTCCATTGCAAGAACTAGCACTTTCACTCTAGTATGGTGGACATTTTTATGAAAACTGACCCCCCAACATCAATTATCTGGTTTTTTTTATTAGGTATTATTTTCCCTATTATTACTTTTATCATCATTATTATTATTGTAATTAATATAATTATTTTGTCAGAGGCAATTTCTAGTACCCTGGCTGATACGTACCAACGGTTGTACGAGTTACCCGACCCCAAACTACCAGTGAAATATCCACGGACTCCAGGTTACAGACCATCACCAGAAGACAACCCTTACAATGCTTGGTAAGTAAAATGTCAGAGAAACTTATTAATTCAGTGGAAACCCTAATTTATGACAAAGACCCCACTATGATATACTATTAGCGTTGGCACTTAGCTTTTCAATCAAACTCTGTTACGACGAGTATTTACTGACAAATTCACATTGTTGATTCTAAATTTATGAATTTGAATCTGGACTTTCCAAGGTTATTAAGTGAAGAAATAATCCTCGCAACTGAACTGCAATAGAAGAAATTGCATAGAAAAGAAGTCTTACAAGATTCAGGCCCCAACAGGATTGGAACATGTCCTTCCCCTCCCAGATACTAGACGGGTGCACTATTGCTGAGCTACATCTTTAAAGCGAAGCAGTTATTTGGTGAGATGGCTTCATAAATTGCTTTGCTTCGCTCCAAACATGTGGCTTCGTGGCTCTGTTTACTTGAGCTGTTTTTCAATCGCAGGTGGAAATATAATTAATTTGATTTTGAGGTACTGACGATGTAACATGAAAGGAGCGTCTAGTGACAAACTTCACGGCAAAACTATGGCGATCGCTTCCAACAAGTGCCATCGTTGCTCTGTTCACTAGACGTCTTTATCTTCCGCATGTAGTAAATAACTAATTTCATTTTCAGGTATTGGCGATGTGACATTAAGGGAGCATCAAGTGGTAAACTTCGCGGCAAAACTGTGGCTATCAAGGACAACACATGTGTGGCAGGAGTACCTATGATGAATGGTTCTCGTACCCTGGAAGGATTTGTCCCGGATGTGGATGCTACTGTAGTGTCTCGGATATTGGATGCTGGTGGACACATAGTGGGGAAAAGTGTTTGCGAAGATTTGTGTTGTAGCGGAGGTAGTTTTACTGCTGCCACTGGTCCGGTGGTTAATCCACACAATAAGACGAGAATGTGTGGAGGGTCATCATCTGGTTCTGCAGCTTTGGTGAGTAAAAAAGTAATAGGAAAATAGGAAAACCAAGAAGCAAGAAAAATAATTTCTCCTCTTCTTCAACAAAATCTTATTATCGCAAACAAATGATCTCCAAACTGTCCATCACACTGCTTTCACTCAAAAAATCACATAGCCTTCATGCCTACGTTCGAGAGACGGATCAGAGGCCTTGCTTTATGTCCATTTATTTTCGACTCAGACTTGTTCCGTTCCGAGCACACATTATCTCTCAATAAGAATCGTCTTTTATTCCTACACAAAACTTCGTTTCAAATGTGGCTGCTTTGTGCAGCCACGTTTCTTGATTACGCTCTTGTCTTCTCGTCGTTTTTAAGGTGGCTGGAGGTCAAGTTGACATGGCAACCGGTGGAGACCAAGGAGGTTCCATAAGGATCCCCGCTGCGTGTTGCGGCATTGTGGGTCTGAAACCCACATACGGATTAGTTCCATATACGGGCATTATGCCGATAGAGTTTACTTTGGATCATACTGGACCAATGGCCAGGACTGTGTATGATACGGCTCTGATGTTGGAGGTAGGACAACAAGTTACGACAAATTGTTAGAATTCCCGCAAATATCTAATCTGCGACTTCCCAATAAAAGTAATCGGTGTCTAACGGCATAAGAATCTTGAATTATCGCGCACTTTTTGTTTTTGCTCCACCTGATTTCTTGGTTCAGCAGGAGACTATCAGATCAATAATGATAAGTGGGTGTCGTTATTTGTCAACAGTTTGAAAATATTTCGAAAACAGCGCGAAATTCATTTATGTAAACGGTATATTAATTGTCTGGTTGCTACCTGTGCATTATTTTAGAGATCACTTCTATTGGGTTTTTAAATGTGGATTTAATCGTTAATAATGAATAATGACTCTTCAACTTTAAAATAGGCTATGGCTGGATATGACGGAGGACTGGACCCTAGACAGCCACGAGATCTCAAAGTGCCTGAGTATACTTTGGGGGTGGGTCTGCTTTTGAATTTCATTGGCGATGAATCATTCATAAGAAATAATATCTTAAATGAACGTTCTATGTCTCTCCCCAGATAAGACTGTGTCAATTAATTCACATTTTCTTGCTAAATTAGCTTTTGTTCAGTTTTACAAGGAAGATTTTTAATGGAGAAAGACTAGGGGTTATACAGAATTAAACCTAACTTTATAGACGACAAATGGTAAAGGGGAAGTTTCCGAACAAACTAATGCTGTGTCGATGTTGAATATCACAAGATAACTTTGAGTTGATAATGTGAATTAGCCGACGTAGAGCGATTCTAAAGCTGAATTTTTGAGCGTTAGCCCTTCGTCATTCGCTCTAACGAAGAGCTAACACTTGAAACTTCAGCTTTAGTATTGCCTTGGGATGGTCAATTTGCATTATCAACTAAGTTGATAAAACAAAAGTGAGTCTCTAGACAGTGGTTGCTGAGAATCTAAGAGCCTCGTGGTTGTGGGACATGCTTCAGTTATGATGAGAGGTCGGATACACACCGTGGTCAACGGTTGACAGCGAAAGAATATCTTGACTTATGCCATGCTGTAAGCCAGGGGGGACACCCCGACTTTTAAAACTGTTAATGGTGGAAACGGGAGGGGTTGATCGAAATTGAATTGAATCTAATGCCAGTACTGGTTTGTTTTTGAAATCCAAATATTATACTTCGGTAGTAATTTTTTGTTTGTAAAGCAATGCAATTTTTTGTCAGCTCACAGGAAAAATACACAACTTGAAAATAGGAATCTTGAAAGAAGGCTTTGGATTGAAGACCTCCGAAGCGGATGTTGATAAGACGGTTAGAGAGGCCGCTGAACAGTTGGGTACTGCAGGCGGCGCAACTGTCGAAGAAGTGTCTGTCCCGATGCATTCTGACGGTAACTGAACATTATGGGAATGCTAAAAAACGCACCATAGGAAAGGAGAGGAGTATAGAGTTTCTCATCATTGCGTCCTACTTGAAATAAATGTTTAGAAACACTGTCAAACGTACTTAACTAATCGGTTCACAACTTCATTTGAGAGTGAAAATAAGAATTGTTTGATGTGCGTTTCGGATTTATTTAAACGTAGATTAGACCTTTTAGAGAAGACCTATAATTGTGTTGTGAAAGTTTGTCTTAGCACCACGTTAACTCGTCGAATGTCATAATTTGTTTTTGATTTGTCTCTCTTTTTGTTTTGTTTTTTTTAAAGTATAATTTGTTTTTTTTCCCTTTGGCTTCACGTTTCGACAGGTGTTCGAATCTATGGGGCCATCGGACATATTGGAGGTGATCGAATGATGTTTGAAGGAGCTGCTGAGAAGTCATAATTGATTTCACAGAAAGTTCGAAGGAATCCCCTTCAAATAAAGGGGTGGTTGGCGTTTTGGTAAACATTTGTTCTGAACAATCCCGAATCAAGAATAACAGTAGCTAGATGAGGATTTTCCCTTAAACTCTACGCAAACATTTTAAATTGTATACAATGCTCTTATAATTGCGGCCAAGCCTTGGTGTTCGGCGATGGTAAACAGTAGAGGTTACTTCAACCTTGCGTCCATCCAATGGCATGTCGAGTAACTTGGAGCTAAATTATGTACGTCGTTAGACTATGATAACATGTTATGTCGTGTCAAGTTAGTAACATGTGATTGATGTGATGTCATTGCATGTCATGTCACCTTAGGTCACTTTACGTCATACCATATAGTTTCGAGTCACGCAACCCTAAGTCAAGTCATTTATTATCATTAAGGAATGTTGTACATGAAAATGATTTGTTTTAAAGGGGCTGGAACTGCGGCAAGGATGTATTACGACACCACTCTGCAGGAAGCCTTCTCACGAGGCCTAAAATGCCACTCGAATGACCTGTCAAAGAGAGGCAAACTCACTCGGCTGATCGCTAAGTATTTGCGCGAGGATTACCACGGTATCTTTTACGGAAAAGCACAGAACCTCGGTCGAGAACTTTGCAAGGCGTATGATGCGGCACTTGAAAAATACGATGTGTTGATTCTGCCCACCATCCCCAAGAAGGCATTAGTTTTCCCGCAGGAAAACGCTCCTCTAAAAGGTCTAATTTTGGCATTTGAATGTATCATTCTTTTGATGATGAATTTGTAAAAAGTAAGACCTTGAAAGGGAAAAGAAATAAGGATAACCCCATGAAAATAGGGAGAAGACTCGCGAGAAAAAGTTAGAATCTATTGTTGGGAAATAAGTTCACATTAAATAACCATCAATACTAAGACACCTATGGCCATTTATTTTGTAGAATATTTGGCAAGGGCTTCTGGGAGTGCTCCAAACACGTCACCAACTAATGTCACGGGTCACCCAGCTCTATCCATTAACGTCGGCTTCAGTGATGGCTTACCAGTTGGTATGATGATTGTAGGGAGAAAGTTTGACGAGATCACCGTTCTGAATGTCGCCTACGCTTACGAGAAGATCAGAGATGCGGAAAAATAAGATTACAAGATGTCTATAAATAGACTCAGAACTACAAGATTTTTTTCACTCTTGAGAATTCTTGACTGACATTGTTGCACCAAAATCTTGTTCGGTAATCTCTTATAGTTCATTTCAGTTGGAAGATAATACGACTTCAGAATCAGTTTGGAGGGACAAATTCTATGAAATATATTTAATTTACTTTTTACTAGAGAGAAGTTCTAAAGTTCCTAGAATTTTTGAATATATCAGCAGTGCGCAAAAAGGTAAAATATTTCTGCTAAGATTGGTGCTAATATACTTATTTTAACACCAGTGAATTTTTCGATTCATTTTGCGTTACGTCATCCAGGGGTTCTGAAAGGAGATTGATATCAATGGTTTGTTTGAGGAGTAGCTCAAGTGCATCAAGAAATGTCTTGAAGACTGGGGGAAAAAATAGTCACATATTAAGAGGTCAAAAAAGAGCTGAAAAAGGCTTTCCAGAAAACTATTTTTGCCCAAAACTACCTCTAAATGATATTAAGCCAATGTTAGTCAAAGTGCGGAAAAGTGCTAAAAATGCAAACCAGAGCTCTAATAAAAATGCTCAAAAGGTGCTCGACTTCATCAGAAATGGCTTTAGCAAGCAAAATAAAGTAGGTACATTTCGCTGATGCCTCACACTCTATTTATTCTTTTAAGATACACCTGTTTTCTCTAATAGCAGTTACACCGGTAAACCTTAAGGATCTAAAATGTGCTCATCTACAGAACGTTAGCAGGATTTTTTAGGCATCACAAGATCCAGATGATACGCGCCATTACCGGATGTAGATGTTTCCATGAGGGTTGTTGACGTTGGTGAGGTGGTTCAGACTGTTCGTGCCACAAGGATCATGGGTAGGCCAGTTCCCTGTGCGTGTGTTAGACTCGAAATAGTAATACTCCTTTAACCATGAGCTACTTTGAGATCGTATCAGATCCGGTCCCAGAGTAGAACCTGCAGGATTTCCAGCAGCATGAAGAATGAGTTGGTCGGGAACGTAGTTATGACATTTAGAAGCCACGTTCTTTATAATGCGGCATAAAACACTTCCAGGTTTGAATTCCACCAGACTTCCGGTTCCTTCTTTACAAGCGATCCAGTGATTGATGTTGGATTTCACCATGAACTCACTGCCAAGAGACTTCCACAGGTTAAATTCCATGGCGTTGTAGTCAGTCTCACTTACAGGGGGGGTAGTTGACTGGTAGACATTCCCAACGTGATGGGATATAGGCCAGTTGGGACGTGGTGTAATCGCATTTGAACCATGTCTGAATGCCCTTTTGAAAAATGTAAAGATTGTTCAGTAAATGAACAAATAAATACGCAGACAACTAAACAAGTAGGATGATGAATAAATAGAGGGAGAAATAACAACCTGTAGTTTGTAAATGTGTAGCTATACACTAGAGTCCAGCCTCCGCCATCCGTTTCTTGGTCGCAGTAGGCCTGTACTGTTTGGCCTCCTCCAGGTTTAATCCAGTACACACCGGAAGCTGCATCTTTTCGCTTTTCTTTAATATCTTTACATGACTTTCCTGGGTATTTTTTGATCAGGCCTGTAGAGAAACACATATTATAATATGACTGAGACAGTGAACCCGCTTTCATTGGTTAATTGGTGTAAACACGGTTGTGACGTCACGCTTTTTGTGTTTCCCGGCTCAATTTGAAAGCATTTAAAGCTCAAAGCATTTGCAACGCTCGTAAAGTAATTTCAAGCACAAATAACAAATATTAGAAATGGAGAAAACTTTTCCAAATTTTGCTTTGGAGTTTGGCTAACTCTTTCCCCCTGAACCCGAAGAGAAAAAGAGGAGAAAAAGATGGACGAAATTCACTGCTTTGCCTCCCTTGTCGAGGGAGTGCAAGCAAAAACGAAAAAATGTGCAAGAAACGTGAATTTACTGCGCAGTAACTATGGAGTAAATCCACATCTTTGGAGATTGCGATTGCAATGGGTAGAATTCCCGGGTTTCGGCCCCCCCCTTTCTTGTTTAGATGAGGCAATGTAAACACGGCATAAGTTCTCTATCAGTCTATTACTTAGAATTAATTCAAAGTCTAATTGATGGAAAGGACAGTACCCTAACTCCCCACTAATAATACTGATCTCATGCCAAGCGAACGAATCAAACAACTCAAAATGAAAAACAAAGACAAAGAAACACGTAATCAAAAACATACCATACAACAGTTTCATCCCATCACACTCCGGTTCCTTTTTTTCTGTTATAAAACAAAAGGAATATAAGCGGAGCCTTAATCAAACAGACACTTACCCAAGCCCTTAATCCCCCCCCCCCAACAATCCCTCGCCCGCCCAACAAATCTGAATACGGTGGAAGATTACCTCCTTCCTCTCGGTGATAGATGAGGATAATCTGTTCCTTTTTAACTCATTGAAGTTTCAATTTTCTTGTGTCCCAGTAGCTTAGCAAATAGCTCAGCAACACATTTTATGAAAATGGTCAAAGAATAGAAGCTTTTACTTGCGTCCTCTTGTTGCAATCCGTACCTAGTTTGACTCACCTTTATCCCCACAATATCTTCCTCGTTTGAGGCAGGCAGGAGGAAGTTTGTAGATAAAGAAACCTGAACATTTCTTGATCACTATTTCTTGAGTCTTTGCGCAGCAAGTCTTTCCAGTTGTATAGCAAACCGTGGCTTGGGCACTTTCCCCAGGCTTCAAGTTAACAGGGTGTGGCTTGAGAAGATAGGCAGGAAACATGGCCCCACATGCAGGAGACTTCAAGCAGCCACCTCCATTTTGGTCACTAAGATTGAGACGGTTTATTAATTCAGTCTCAGCTTATGTCTCGGCACAGAGAAGCAAAAAACATTACAGGCTCGGAATTCATGCTTATTTTTGAACATAACATGTAAAGTAAATATCATGACCGACTACATGGCTAATTAGGACATTTATAATAATGCAAACCAAAAAATTACAAGCAAACTGGCATTACTGCGCATTCTCGATTTTTCTTGCCCCTGATTGGTTTGTTTTAGAATTATGACGCCATTCCTGCCGCAATAACTGACTACCGTACAATGATGACTCGTCGACAACGATGACAAGAATGATGTAATCTATCGACATGAAGGAGAATGGAGTTCCCTCCACCACCCCCGAGAAATCATTCCTCACGACGATTTGAACGTTTTTTAGAACCTTGGGTAGTGGGTAGTGAACACAAATTTGTTTCTCTTCCTCGGGGAGGGGGGAGAGGGGGGGTTGAATGTCAGTTACACTGCGTCACTGAAGATAAATTCACAATACTGACTTATCACAAAAAAAAGAACTTACATAGTGGCCATTTTGTTTCCTGCATCCCCAGTGAATCGGTACCAATCCTCTTTCCATGTTTTGCGTTTATCTGATTTCTTTGTCAGCTTGTCGAATCCCGCCGCACGATCAGCACCACGCAGGGTGCGGTAATTAGAACACGGGTCCTTATCGTATCCATCTGTGGAAGACAAGAAAATAAAGACATATTGCATTTTATAATAATTGCTGGAGAAATTTTTCGAGTATTCACAGACCGATCCAAGAGACAATTAGGAATTCACCTTGATTCGATCTCCAACAGTAATCCTCACCATTGTATGATTCGTGCTCTTTAATCATAAACCACCAGTAGACATGCTCCGTTGTACAATATGATAATGTGGAGGGAGGAGGTGGGGATGGGGAAGAAAGGCCAGAGCTTTCATTCACAATTCAGTCCCTTTGGGAGCGCACGAGGATGGCGAATGATTTTAAAAACCATTTTCAAGTTTACACACCACATCCCAAGAGAGTTTTCATAGTATAATAGCGATTTCAAAAGTGCAGTCCGTGGCTTTATCTAGAATAACAATTTCAAAATATTGTAGGGTTTCTATAGGTCCGATGAAAAGACGTGCGTAGGGGGCAGTGATACGGATAAACCAATACACGGAAGAGTTGGGATGTAAATATAAATTGTACGTGACTTGATATACATTTGTTCTGAAAGCTTTTCGTTTTAAAATCTTGGCCACAGACCTCAACATGTCTTGAAAATCTTTATATGCCTTATCCTTTGACCTACGACTCTTTCAATACTGAAAATCACATATGTATTGTCTTTTTTTTTCATATGAGATTCTGTATTCAACTTACGAGCCACATCCACTTCGGTGAAACAAACTATTAGGAAAAGTCCCAAGACAAAGGCCAGTCCCATCTACAAATTAAAGAAAAGAAAGGAATAAAATGAAACGTAACTAGCAGGTACGAAAATTATCGTCGTGGTGAATTCACACTTTTTTTTTCTATGTCGTGCGCCCATGAAAAGAAAAAAAATGGCCTATTTCTTTAACTTAGCTAATTGTTTTTGCGATAGGGTGATGCCTCTCGGTTGTTTTGAAAGCATTGTGTGCTAAGTTCTTTTGTTTTATCTACGGTATGATTTGTCCAGCATCATGAAGACTTAGCTGAAGCAATTAATTTTTACTCCTACGCAACGGCTCTTGTTATAGTCGATAAACATTCCACATATCTGCATAAAATTAAATGCTTGCTAATGGTGTGCAAGACATACGAGGAGCAAGCTGTTCCTTCCTGCAATGTATTTCTTGGATCAGACTTAAAGAACCCTGCAATCGAGAGAAATCTATAACCGATAAATTTAACCCAACACTCAGTTTAGTATTTGAAATTCCTTAGTTTTCTCATGTAAATATAATTTAAATACGCTTTAAAAGCGCATGAAATGTAAATATTTCTTTTTTGAAAAAAAAATTACGAGACATAAAACCAATCCCTTCATCACTATAAATAATGGCTTTCGTCTTATCTTCATTTACGGCTATAAAGTTACTTCTACTCAAACTTGATGAAGAAGGATCTTCAGGAAATGCGTGTGCGTCGTTCTGTTCCTGTTGTTCTTGTAATACTACTGTCCTTTCCTAGGTGTGTGTGTGTGTGTAAAGGGGGGGGGGGGATAGTGGGTGAATAATTTTAGAAGGGAGGTGTTAGGAAGATTTGAGGATTGAATGCCTTTGAAAGCGTGTATTCTCTTCAGTCTTTCTAGAATAAGTTTACGCTATATTACCGGTAACTCAAGATTTCGACAGAGTCAGAAGTTTCGATCCTTAGGAGAAAAAAATTATATCTCCACTGAGATCTCTGTACGTGTTGCGCACGTCAGACCTTACGGTCAAAACACACGCTAAGGCTCCGATCCCCCGGCAGCAATAACCCGACCCCCCGGCAGAACTTAAGCACAACCATGGAATCTAGAATAGACGAGACGCGGAATTCATGTATGCGTGTAAGAAATGATTATTTCATCTTTTCCCAGTAAATTCATGATATGTAATGCAACTTCAATGCTTTATGGATTTGATGGAAAGAAATACTTTTCTTGTCATAGTATCCTGCAAACGCCCATTCAGTCTACAAGAATGTTAGGATAAGCTCGCGAACATTTCTCCAATTTAGCGTGAACAAATAAACCGAAGCTGCTTTAGATGTTAAAGAATTCAAGTGAAAGCCATTCAAAGAACGTTACTAATATCAAATATCAAGCTGATGCAATACTCACCGTATCTGCGTTGTTCGTCCCCACGTCCTTAGAAACAACACAAAGGAAACTGATTTTTTTTTATTTCCACCGTTCTCATTTAATCGTAATTATCTAGGGAGGCCCTATTTGCGCGTCTGTGTACACGGTCCTATTGTTGCATTATTCTGTAATTAAAAGAAATGCCACAGCGATTGACACACAGTGAATTAAAGTTAGCGCTCAGACGATAACTAAGTGCACATGCATAACTACACGCCGATACATTTCAGAGACAGTGTCCTTAACATTTATGTGAAGCATCTTTAAAAAAAAGCTCTCGTCGCTTTGTTGACAATCACACTATTGAGCTGCTGAAGGATATAGTAAAGCTTTCAGTCATGCAAACGTTTCAACCCGCAATTGCTACATTTTACAATAAGCATAAGGTTGGACAACAGGTGGCATGTAAAATAGCCTAAAACTTGACGCGTCCAGTGCTTACCGCAGACCAGCAAAATGTTGGGAAGATACAAACTACGCTATTCTAGGCAAAACGCATCTTAAAAGGGCTAAGAGCTACGTTTTTTAGCCAATATTCTGGAAGGGAGCATATTAGAAAGGTTCAAACGTAGTGTCCCTGATTTTCTCGTAAGCACGGGCGACATTCAGAATTGTCGCCTCGTCAAGCTTTCTTCCCACAATCATCATACCAACTGGTAAGCCATCACTGAAGCCAGCGTTGATAGATAGAGCTGGGTGTTCTGTGACGTTTGTTAGCGACGTGTTTGGAACACTTTCAGAAGCCCTCTCCAAATATTCTGCAAAAGAAATTGCAACAGATGTCTTGATACTGATGGAATTTTCAAGTGAATCAATTACCCAAATACAGATTCTCCCAAAATCTCCAAAGTCTTTGAAATGACTGGTTGGTCAACAGTCTAAAAACACAGGATCTGTCAAAAGTGTACCCCAAAGTAGAATTGAAATCTTCGATCGCGCAAATGAAAAGTTCTGGCCGAAGTAAATTGCGAAAACTAATACATCCTATGAAGACCTCGCCCAAAAATTAATACTTTTTGCTGCTTGGAAAAGATATATTGTCTTCCCTACATTTTCAAGAGCTTTAACGTTATTTATTTAGCTTATTAAAGTATTAAAAAGTAATTAATAAATCATTTTTGATATTAATGTGATGAAATGATAACGATCGGACCTTGCAACGGAGGAGACTTTTCCTTCGGGAAAACTGGTGCCTTCTTTGGGATGGTTGGCAGAATCAACACATCGTATTTTTCAAGTGCTGCATCGAAGAAGGCCTCTTGCAGAGTGATGTCGTAATACATCTCTGCAGAAGTTCCAAAACCTGCAAAAAAAAAGATACGTTCAATACAACATCCCGTACTGATAACAAATGACTTGATGTGATGAGGCGTAATCAGAAACAATAAAGTATGACATAAAGTGACGTAACGTGACATGAAATTGATATCATATCATGACAAACTCGACATGACATAGGATGGCATGACATGACATGACATGACATCAAATAAAATCCATGGTTTGGTTCCACGTGACTTGACATGACCGTTTACCAACGCTGAATACAAAAGTAACCGCAAATGTAATACTGAGCTTTATCATTTTAATGTTTACGAATTGCAAAAGGAGAAATCCTCTTTTGGCGACTGTTATTTATGATCCTTAAAATACAGAGGCATTTTCTTTACCAGAAGATCATTATCAGCAAATGTATAGAAACACGCTGTAGAGGGCCGAAGTGACACTTTGATTGGAAGTTCCTCTGATCTTTGCATCGTAACAAAATCCACCATGACTGAAAGAAAAGTCTCACCAGCTCCGTCAAACATCATTCGATCGCCTCCGATCTCTAGGATGGCCCTAAAGATTCGACCACCTATCCAAACGCAAGGCCAACGGAAAAAAAAAACAAGAGCAAAAAAATAGATAAGCAAACAAACAGAAAGACAAAAATAAAAATAAAAAACAAATGACTACGTTGAAGGAGTTATCGTGGTCTACAGGCACATTTTCACAATGAAAAAAAGTTAAGAAATAGCTGATGTATAATAGGAGCCCATGGGCTACTGTTTTTTAACGAACCCTTTCACCCCCAAGATCTCATAAGTAATTCTCCTTACTGTCTCCCCATACAATTTTTGTGACGTCAATTGGGAGAATTTGGGTTTGGATCATCTAATAATCCCGGGCCACTAATTGATATTTTTCTTTATTCTCCTCACTTGTCTGCTTGGTAATGTATTGATATTGTAAGGAGAAATTCTGTCTTGGTCACTTATGGGAGTTAAAGTGTTAAGCCTTGGAATTACGACTATAACAATGCAAAGCATCAAACATTTTTCAAAAAGGAGAGAACATTCTTTGATCATCTCAAGCAGCGTAAGCATCTTGAATAATTTAATTTATTTTCAATCGACAATGAATATACAACGAAATTCTATTCGAATGAAATACATGTAACGGTATTTTAGCACAATATTTGGATCAAATAATTATGTTTCAAGTAAAAGGCAATGTTGAGATAATTAATTCTGTTTCCCTCCCCTTTGGATCGCTATTAACATTCACGCAATGATCATTTACCGTGAGAATGAATTGGAACAGACACCTCTTCGACAACTGCGCCACCTACAGTAGCCAGCTGTTCTGCAGCTTCTCTAGCCATCTTATCCACATCTGCTTCGGAATTCTTCAATCCAAAGCCTTCTTTCAAGATTCCAATTTTCAAGTTCTCTATTTTCCCTGTGAGCTGAAAAAATCACTTTCCAATAAGAAAGGGCATACCAAGGTAAACTATATGGTTTAAGATGCAAACCAACACTGGCAGTAGACTCAACTTAGTTTCATTCAACGTACCCTCTCCTACCTACCCCTGACACTCAACCCCAGGTGTACCCCGCTTAACCTACGCCTGCCACAGCATATGTCGAGCAGGTAATCTAAGAGAGACGCGAGAGGGTTGGTACACGGACAGCGGGTCTTTGTAAAGCTTTTCTAAAGGCCACATAGACTAATAAAATGTAAATGATTATAAGATTTGTAAAAATGTTTACTTTCTGAGGAAACTAGGTGCTAACTAAAATATATCAACAAAATAATTTTTTTTTAAATGAAGTTTTAGTTTTATGGGCGTCGACGCTGCAATCACGAGAAACACCGGTAAGAACCACATTGGAAAGAACTGGAGATTGATACGGATCGAGGTTAGACTTCCTAAATAATCTATATTAGCAAATGCTTTAATATGCCTTATAATTTAGTAGCTTGAATTTTTTTCCAAACAGCGCATGCCCCTATTGTTTATTTTGGGGTCACATGATATCCTATTTTGAATCTGTTTCCAGTCAGCCTCTGAGAGGGCGGCATTGTAAAATTTATGACATCAAAGGGTAACAATACACTCTTACCCGCGAATGTTGACCGATCCGATTCAGGTAAATTATGCCGGTCAGATAAATCATGCTGGCATGATGTTGCAACAATGCCTTAGTCAGAGCATCGAGCATAATGCCAGCATATTGACTTATACTTCTTAAAAATTCCCTTTACGTTGCTGTTCAACTCGAGAGAAATTCTGTAGCTTGAATAACGTCAACATCAAGCCTTCTTTTCTTCTTTCAATATAGGAATTTGATCCTGAAACTAGCATGTGTTCGGAACTTCTGTAAGCCTTTTATTCTCAGTAAGTTTTACTCTTAGGTGTTAAGAATGAGTGAGGGGCAATTCTTTTGTTTTTATATTTCAATTGAGCGAAATGACAGCTTTTGAGAGTATGCCATGTTTTCAGGGGTGACCCTAAAAATGTTCGAGCATAATTTATCCAACCCAAAAACAGACGGTCGCTGCTCGAGAACAGGCGAGGTGAGATAGTGGCATTTGGTTGTCAGCACTCTATTTTTACGTTCATTATTCAGTGATTTGTGCTCACATTGCGCTGCTTAAGTCTTTGTTCTGCCGTATTGTAAACCACGTAGATCTGGCGTGACACGTTTCAAGTCAAGACATTATAATTGTTAATTGAGGAAAATTTTAATTTGAGCTGAAATTCAAGGTTATCAGTAGTTCCAATAGTGGATCTAACGATTTTATAACGTGGAAAGAACATTATTCAACAACCCTTAATCAAGTCCGCTACCATATTTTGGCGTGTTTGCAGAACATGCGGCAGTCATTCGATTGCCCATTGATTGCATGCATGCCCTTGAACCTGTCTCATTTGATATAAAGTCATGTAGGTCTGCCATGTTTTGTGGCAGCATTATTTAAATTTCCTTGAAATCAGCGAATGGAGAACGTTTCGCATAACTCACTGAGAACCTCTGAGAAATGGCGCTTCAATTTTGACTCTTAATTCGTTAACAGCCAACATTTTAATTAATTTCTGTTTCAGCCCGGAAATAGATGTCAAATGAATAAAGTCAATCGAGGTCGTCACTAATCCTTACCGGTGGAAAACTTCACTGGTGGTGCTACATTCGAATCAAAATAGCAATGAACATATCATTTGATATTTTAAAAACACTCCTAAGTCTTAAAGCCAAGTTTGCATCTCATGGATTATCTGATATATTAACACTTCCGTTCGAGTCTGGTATTTGATTAAATCTGCATGCCCAAGGATCGTTTTATTCTAAATTTAGGATTGTAAGATTTCCTATCTCGTTAAATCAGTTATTCACATACCTGGTCCCTTGCTTCAGCCATCTCGAAAAAAGAAAGAAATCTCGACTAGACTCGATACAGATAGAAAGTTAAGCTCATCAATCAACGTAAGACTGTAAGTGGCAAGTCACACAACCAGCGGGAGAGTCATAGCAACTGTCTCATGAGCACGCAAACGTTCCAGTGCTTCAGGCCTTGGGCCTCAGTTTCCCCGTTTGAGATGATCTGCATTAACGTCACGTTACGCCGTAGTGGTCTGAAGTAACGCAATGCAACGCTTATATCTTTTGTTCACTCATGCTGAATTGGGCGGTGAACCGAATCAAAAAATAATAATAATATTAAAAATGATACTAACAATTATGATAATTGCAATGATGATAAAAATAACGATAAAAATATATAAAGATTTAAAAGTCTGACTTGCAATTATTTTAATATTACGTATAATACGCATTCCGCAGTTCTGTGTTCCATTATTTCACTTTGTCCAATTGTTATCGTTTCATCAGAACAATTGTTGCATAACGATTTGTCTCTTTTGTCGGTCTCGTTGGGTTCTTACTCCAATCAGTGCGTTCTCCCGTCATATTTGAGCTCAAAATATTTCTGGTTGGAAACCCAGGTAAAGGAGGGATATCATGACGGAGGGAATAGGAAAAAGGCATTAGTTACACCAGAGCTCTTAACTTAGCCCAAGTGAGTACGATAAACCACTTGTTCCTTTGTGAGCGACATTAATCAAACCTTAATCGAAATTACATAATCTTTCTAGGGAATAATCTGTGACCTTGCTTAGCTAAACTGTTGATTTTTTGCCACACAAAGTCATCTTCGTACGTAAAGTCAAGGTTTATAATGTCAGTATGCGAAATGTTACTCATAAACAGTAGCTTACGCGTAATGAGAAGTGAAGCGTGACACGGTGATTGTAATGTAAGCAGCCACAGTCTCTCTTGGCATCTGTGCCAGCGAGCCACTTTATCGTGGTTTAAAACCGACAAAGGTCTTTGGAGAAGTCTCTTTATCAAGTTCGTTGATCCAAAGGACCTTATATGCAAACCAGGACGGCGACTTCAACGAGAGCGTGGTGAAACAAAATATTTAACAAGCATAACAATAGCTCTGTTCGTACGTTTTGAAATTTTGTACGTACCCCAGTTGTATTCTGCGAAATAGCAACGTGAAATTGTAGAATATCGCATAATCCGAGAATTGGAACCTCGACAACAGATCGTTTAAGTTCCCTCTTGGAACTCAGTAACACCTTGACTCAATGGCGTCCCACAAATCTCCGCTTTACGTGTTTGTTTACTAAAGCGTTAATATTATTACGCCCTGATAGAATCGGAAGTGAAGAAAAAAGAAATGACATTGTAGTCAGCTGTTAAAGCCTGTATGGCAATTTTCACACGTGCAAAAATCTGTTTGAGGAACTGCGGCTTTTAAAAAGGTTTTATTATCAGTTAAATACGCATGGTGGCTGCCCAAGGTGTGTCTCGCTTCGACGGTTTCTGACTTCAAATGGACAACAAATGTCTTAGAAAAATATCAGGGAAAGATGTGGAATGATACGCTGATGCTGAGGTTGACTCAATGTAGACATACAGAACTGTCTGATGTAAACTAGATAGCTTACAGAATGTTAAGGTGAATAGATCACTTGTGCATGCATCTCAAATTATTTAGTCCATTTTATGTCTGCTACTATTGTTTATGTGGTTGAAGTTGTTGTCGTTTTTGTTTGTTCATTCATTTGTTTGTTGTTTTCTTTTTTAACGAGCTTAAAAGTGCGCGTATTGGGAAAGAAGAAGATAGAAATTACTTACTGATAGGGTTGTCTACTTATTACAAATCATGCTTTATGTTCACACATTATGCTAATTTGTTATGCTCAGTTAAAGCGTGCACATTACAATTCACACAAAAATACATAGAAATATTGGGATCCATGTCTTTTACCTAATTTGTAACCACGCCTGGTCTTGAAATGTAATACCTGGCTACTTTGAAACCAAGATTAAGCGTGGTCTTAAAAAGATTAAAATGTGTTAAAAAACGAGCTAGCGGTGTCTCAGTTGGAATTCCTTCGTTTCTGGCAAAGTTTTTCTAAAACACAGCGTCCAAAATTTTTTTTTTATTATTTCATTTTTTTCTTATCTATTAATTTTTTTTTGTACTTTTATTTCAGCATAATGCTTGATTCTCTTGCCTTATTACTATTCTCAAATAATGCCGGCATAATGTGGACGATCCTACTCACTGAGCTCTTTTAATTTAAGTACTCTTCAGTTTTCTCTCCTTTTATCGCCTTTTGCGTTGTACGACAAACTTTGGCCGTGATTTTTACGAGCCACCCTTCTTACGCAAGCAATAATCCTCAAGCGTAATTACTCTTTGTTGCCAGGTCTCTTGGCGTTCGCGCAATGTTTAAGGAGCCCGCTATTCGCGTACCAAGTTTAGTGCGTCTTAGAGAAATAGCACAAGACACGGGGTTGGATGTTCCTGAATCTGATCTTCGATCATACCAGGGTAAGTAATTAGTTTATCATTTAAACTTAGGAGAGTGTGAACGCAGAACTCGATACTCACAGGACGATCGGTTAATACCAAATTAAAATAGAGACTTCTTTGACACGTTCCAAGAAACGGTAGTTACAATAACGATGTTCACGACGATAAAGATATAAACAAAGTTTATTGAAGCGAAGCGGTGGGACATAGTAGAACTTGGAGATGAAATATTGCGCAGCGAAGCGATGAAAACAGGCGGAGTAAACGACGTATAAAGCGGTAGGAAGCAGTTTCGAAAATTAGGAAGAAAATACAACGGAAAAACTATAATTTAAAGGCGAACAAGTACGGTCAACTTTGGAGAACAACTTTTCCATTAAAAGATGTGAAAGGTCAAAAGACATCCATATCCGCGTTGGGAATTTTAGAAGTTGTACCATAGATCGTTGATGTTAATACGATGAACTGCTAGCCTGAGCTGAGAGTTTTCCTGAACACGTACGATTAACTTTACTCAATAGTACAAAAAAGAAAAAAAAAGCTACTGAACAGCACAGAGAATGTTATCTTTGATTGAGAGCAGTACAAAGAGTATTAACTTTAATTATACCATTTAAATAGCTTGAGAAAATATGTCCGTTGTTTGGGCCACAGAAATTCGGAAATATCTATGTCAAGGAAACTCCGAAATACATGAAACGCAAAAGAAAATCACGAAAGGAAATGAAAAAGCCAAAAAAACTACTTTGCTGGAACAAATAGGAAGCACGCAGTAAATGACAAAAATAATTAATTATATTGTATCTTGTATTCTTTTCAAATTGCTGTAAATGCCATTTTTAACCAATTTTAAGTAATTTCTTATCCCTCTTTTCGGAGGATTTGTGAGGGACGAATTTTAACGAGAAATATAGTTTTTCTCCCATGGTATTGTTGATATCTTCTAGAGGCCATTTCTACTATTCTGGCTGATACTTACCAACGGTTGTACGAGTTACCAGACCCCAAACTGCCTGTGAAATATCCACGGACACCAGGTTACAGACCATCACCAGAAGACAACCCTTACAATGCTTGGTTGGTAAAAATAAAAAAAAGTTTTCTTCTTAACCTTTTGTTAAAATTGTTTACCTATATTTTTATTCATTTATTGTATTGTTATTATCATTATTAAGTTTATTATTTTGTAACGAACTTAAGAAAATTAACGGCACTTTTAAAATTAAAAAAAAAACATGTTTCAACAGTTCTTCTGTCATCTTTAGTTCTGAATAATACAAAGTACAAACTTGAATTTAAAGGGTGTAACAAAATGCTGATTGGACAAAACAAACAATACTAACAGAACAATGTATGCATTTACAAGGAAAGTTTTAAATTAACATGATAAAGTTGGTGATTAAGAGTAGGTTTCTCCAATTGAATGTGGCTAGTTTCTTTTATTTTAAGTTGAAAACTTGTGGAAGCGTGATCTAGGATGTTAAAACATTCATCAGAACAAAGAGTGCGACATTGTGGAGAATTGTGTAGATGTCTGAAAATGTGAGGGGCCCTATCACTGACCAAGTACTCACGTACACGTGTGGATGAATGTCGAGAGGTTTCGCCGACATATCAGGCATTACAGCCCGCACATAAAAACTTGTAGACCTACACGATTTGTCCTGATGAAGTTATTTTCCAGCGACAGTTGCAGGGGATGCTGCAAGTGGTATATAGCAAGTGTCCTATCAGTTTACGTTATTGCCTTGCATAACATCCAGAGCCTGGCTTAATGATTTATCTAGCTTGAAGTATCACTTCTCCTGAATGGCATCAATTCGTAGTAGGGTACTGATGCCCAAAAACTGCCCCTTCTCAACCCCATTCACCCTCTTCCCTTCACCCATCTGTTCAGTTCCATCATTGCTCTTATGGATGGAGAGAAGCATCTCTCGCAAAAGAGGGAAGAGCACAAGGAAGTCAAACTCCAACCTTTGCATGCAGGGTACAACATACTAATCACAAGCAAACTATTGTTTCCGAAGAGTAAGAAAAAAGACTCCGCAACACCTTACCTTTACTGTTGCAGGTTCTGGCGCTGTAACATCCAAGGAGCATCAAGAGGTAAGCTTCACGGTAAAACAGTAGCCATCAAGGACAACACGTGTATTGCAGGACTTCCCCTTATGAACGGTTCCCGACTACTGGAAGGCTTTATCTCGGATACTGACGCAACAGTAGTGACCCGGATATTAGACGCCGGTGGACGCATTATCGGCAAAGCTGCCTGCGAGAATTTAAGTTATGACGCTGGAAGTTTTACTTCAGTAACAGGTCCAGTACTGAATCCATACAACTGTAAAAGAATGGCTTATGGTTCTTCATCTGGTTCGGCAGCTTTGGTGAGGTTCTAATCTAAAATCTGAAATTCGTTGATGAATGGAAAGTATGATTTTTAAGGGTCGGGCCTGACCATTAATCAGTGAAATCGGTGGATGTAGGTGACGTCGTCCCGTTGGACGGTCGTGCTAAGTTCCGTAGCCCCAAGTGAAGAACGGTGGCGTTGTCCCCAACTTGAAGGTGGGTCGCCCCCAACTTTTGATCTAAGTTTATTGAAGCGATTTTGAGGTTTAAAAGGTATGGCTCTTGCGCGAGGGATATTTGTGCCAGGTTTTTAAGCAGTCTCAACATTGCGATCGCCGGTTGGTTGAAGGTTTTCACACTCGGGCAATTGAACCTATAAGCTTTAAAACTTTTGTCAAGATACATGAAAAACCTCAATAAAAGGTACTTCAATTGTGGGCGACGGAACCATGGGCGACCGTGCAACGGGGCAACGTCACCTGTTATTAAATCGATCATTACCCACCACTAGTAGCAGAGCCCGTCTCCTGTTCTTGGACTCAAATAAATTATAAAGGCCGAATTTTGTTTTTGTTCTTTTATTTTGTTTATTTTTAGCATGGTCAAGTTCCATGCTCTCAGAGCTTCAGTTTGTTTGTTGTTGTTGTTGCTTTTTTTTAATAAACCTTTGGTTTGGAACGAGTCAGAAAATCGATAAAGTTCACAGAAAATCCTAAACGAATTAAAATGTAACAAACAAAATTGTTTATCTTGGTTTTACTTTTTTTGACAGGTTGCCGGTGGTCACGTGGATATGGCTTTAGGAGGGGATCAAGGGGGCTCCATTAGGATGCCTGCCGCCGCATGTGGAATTGTGGGTCTAAAACCCACATACGGTTTAGTTCCATATACTGGGATCATGCAGATGGAATTTACACTGGATCATGTGGGACCAATGGCTAGGACAGTTTATGACACAGCTTTGATGTTGGAGGTAAGGATTTACGGATAGACTTTTCCTTTTCCTTTTCGTTTACATGAATGCACTAGGCATAAGTGAATTTTTAAAGGGAATATCTTAACTTTATTTCCCCTGTTCATTTGTTTACGTTTAGGTGATTGCTGGGCTTGACGGAGACCTCGATCCCAGGCAGCCAAGAGATTTGTACATCGATGAGACATACACTTCGAAGGTAACTGAAATATTCAAAACGTTTGCGTGATCGGTGTAAGAAGCAAAGCAGTGGTTAGAGATTCACCTTCTCTGCAAGTTAGATGTTGATATCTTCTTTGACAAATCAATGATCGCGAGAGAGAGAGTATAAAGAGAACATCAAATATATATATGTAATATTCAGAGAAATGTGCGCGCCGTGATTGGTCAGAAAGAGTTCATTATATTTCCATAAAGCATGCACCTTACGTCACACGAGTGCACTTTTGAGATATAATGCATGCAGCCAACCTCATCGGTACGAGCGCGCGCAACTCGCGATACATTTTATAAAAGAAATAAAAAACCCTGTTCCTTGGGCATTGTTGAGTTATATATGCACTTGGGAACTTTTAAGAACACTCGAGAAGTGCTAGAAGCGCTCGCCTTCGGCTCGTGCATCTCCACACCTCTCTCGTGTTCTTAATAATTCCCGCGTGCTTATAGAACTCAACAATGCACTCGGCGCGTTTTTTCGTCTTAAATATAGTACTGGACTTTATTTTGTAGTTATCAGGTGAAATTTCGCATCTTAAGCTCGGGATATTAAAGGAAGGGTTTGGACTGTTCAGCTCAGAGCCTGACGTTGACAAGCTTGTGAGAAAAGCTGCTGACCATCTCGGAAGTGCATCGGGCGCATTAGTAGAAGATGTGTCTGTGGCCATGCACTACGAAGGTAGACATGAATTTTTTGTAAAAGTATTATTTAAGTGGCGAGAGAGTCACAGAGTAGTTAGTTAGTCAATAAAACTATTCATTGGTCAATCTGCTTGTCAGGCATGTTTAGCAGTTCTCTCCGTCATTCAACTAGTTGGAGATCTTCCATCCGTCTCATTTATACTCGTTCCTTTATTCTTTACGTTTTCATTTTTCCTTTCGTTCATTCTCACTTCTGTACCCAGGAGCAAGCATACTTCAAGGTATATGCGCAGAAGGGGTGACACGAGCGATCTTTGAGGCAGGTATGTTGCTATTTCGCCTTTAAGCGAAAAATTTTTTTACTGACTCACGCCGCCAATATGTTCCCCGATTTTGCCCTCGCGCTCGGTTTGTAAGTTAGTATTTTCCCTGTTCTTAAGTGAAGTTTTCCTGACAGTAAGGTAGTTCCATTTTTACGAATTCCTGTCTGTCCTTTCTATGAATGATGAATGTGGATTATAGGGAAGGTCTTGCTCAGAGGTAACACTTTAAATTCAATCGACCTGTGCCGCAGAGACTAGAATAAACCTTAGCGGTCATGGACCCAAATGGTTATGTAATTAGTGTTCGTGCAATCGCGTTGTGCAGAGTGCTTTTTGATGCGGCATCGTTATTCCAAATGAGAACTGGTAAATCAGTGAGAACTCAAGTGAAACCATGTGAATCACCTGGAGCACGTGATTAAGGCGAGTGACCCTTTCTGTTTGATTGGGAGGTTAGCGAAAGTTCTGTAGACCAATCACAAAACGTTGAGAAGCTAAACAAGCAGAATCCTGTTTATTGTTTGTTTGTTTCTTTTTTTATACTCCGTTGAACATTACCTTTGGAAGGATAAACAAGAGGCGTTTCATGATCTTTTAGGGTTTGGAACTAGCTCAAAGATGTATTACGACAGAACGCTTCATGAGGCTTTTTCACGAGGCCTGAAGACACACCTGAACGATTTGCCAATCACCATCAAAAAAGACATTTTACTTGGACGCTTCCTTTTAACAGAATATAATGGGATTTTCTACAGCAAGTCGCAAAACTTGGGACGAGAATTGTGTAGAGCATACGATAAAGTTCTAGAAGATTATGATGTGTTGTTGATGCCAACTATTCCCAAAAAGGCGCAGTCTTTCCCGCCTGTGAAACCATCCATTGCAGGTATGAAAGTTAATGAATGTAAGAATGAACAAATGGAAAAATAAATTGATGCATAAAAATCTAAACAAAGAGAAAACACATCACACCTTACTTCTTTTACAATCAAATGCAAGCATTCATTTACTGATCTTTTTGTATTTTACTTTCACTTAAGTCATCCATTAAGCAATCATTGGTGATCCTTGCAATTTGTCCTTACAATCTGATTGCTCTCTGACTCAGTGATGCGATTTATTTACGACTCGTGTTGTTTTTTTGCTTTTCGGCACATTCTTTGCCCAGCCGACGAGATGGAAACGCTAAAACATAACAAGCACTCAGATTTCAAAGCTAGTTTCGAATAACCAATGAAATTTTTAGGAAAATGAAAGACAATTTGAAAGAAGTCATTGAGTGGTGAATCTTGCAACTTTTGTCCCCAAAACTGTCCTTTTTTTTCGGTAAAAAAAAATGAATCAATCAAATTTCTCAGAATTCCGGTTCCGCTAACTTTATAAACCAATATATCAGCACTTATCTGGTGAGTAACATAGTCCAGTTTTTTTGGATGGCCGCTGTAACCGGCTCAGAGGCTGGTACTTCAGTTAAGCAATCGGCGTCAGTTTGGTGTTCAAAGGCTTGCCCGAGACAAAAACTATTCAAAAATTTGTTATTTTCGAAATCTATTCTTCACTCTCAGTGATATATAATTTTCCATGTTTTCCTTCAAAGTAGCGCGCGGGGAACGATGTTTCCGGAAGGCAACCTATCTTGATGACAGTGACCTTAATTAGATTCTAGTTACAATCAAGGATTAAATAGACTCGTTCTCTTTCAGATTATTTGAGGAAAGTTTCTTACATTGGATTCATTACATTCAACACTGCACCTTTCAATGTCACAGGACACCCAGCCCTGTCAATCAACGCTGGCTTCAGTGACGGCTTACCAGTTGGTATGATGATTGTGGGAAGAAAGTTTGACGAGGCTACTGTTCTGAACGTTGCTTACGCTTACGAGAAGATAAGGCACGCCGAAGATAATATATGCTTAATTGAATAAATGCATGGAATAGTCATTTTCTTATAAGTCAGTTTGAGGATTTGCTCCTTTAAAACCACACGAACCTTTCCTATCCTATTTTGACTGGTCATTACTGTTAGCTGGAGTGATAAAGAAAAAGAGGATAATATGAATGTTTATGTCGTCCACTATGCCCAGGGGTGGGGAATTTTAACCTTGCCCTTCTGGGGTGGAGAATTTGACCCGGGAATTTTAAGTCTTTCCAGCGGAATAAACGTATTTTAACTTTTAACATGGAGGTGTTTAAAAGTGAAAAAATTACTTTCGCGAGCAGATGGCTCAGTAGAAATGGTCTACAAGAAAGTCCCTGATACAAGTCATGTCTTTACAACAAAAATGACCATAAAATCCAGCGCTTGGGTGGGGCATTTGAAGCCGATTTTGCCCCGGGGGCGAGAATTTGAACAAACTAATCTTCACAAGTTCAGATGATCGGAGGGTTGCCCGAAAAAGGGGGGGGGGGAGGTGTTGGATCTTTGAATCTAATCTTTTACCGTTGCAATAAACGATAGAACCAGGGTGTTTGTAGTAACCCATTAAACTTCCACTGATGAGGCTGATACGGTTACTAAAACATCGACGCATTACTATCAAATAAACTTAAATTTCTTGTGATTTACCGTTGCAATAAACGATAGGTCTGGCCAACCAGGGTGTTTGTAGTAACCCACTTATGTTTTAAACTTCCACTGATGAGGCTGATACGGTTCCTAAAACATTTGATTTGAACCCATGACCGCTGCGATACCGGTGCAACGCTCTACCAACTGAGCTAACAAGCCAACTGGGAGCTGATCATGAAGTTGGTTCTAAATAAACCCGTGAAGTGACGAATCCAGAGCTTTGCCCAAATACCACTTCCTCTCAACCCAGTCTCTGGCAACAGGTGTTACTGCTGTATCAGTACACTCCTTTAGGAGGTGCACTCTCTAACCGCATGGAAACTCTTGGTTGTATTTCCCATCTGTGACACACTGCTCGCAGGGGTATGAGGTGCTTCTTGCGATGATCTTAATCGGGGAAGGCTGCCACTGCATGGACGGTCATTGTCCCTGTAACAGTTGTGATTTCCCTAAAGCGATCAATTCACGATTGCGCCTTGAGGCAGGCTCCCTTTGACGCAAGGTAAAGGCGACCGAGCTTGCTGACTGATGGTGCTGCGTCCAGGAAAGGAAGTCAACTGTATCTTGAATTGTGAGCTTTTGCTACCTGACAGCTTCATCAGCTATATGGTTTACGGAACCTCCAACCCCCTCACAAGAACCTTTTGCTATGGCCGCTTGAAAGTAATTCTAGGATACAATGACATCGAACAGATTTTTGTCGTGACTTAGCAGGTAGTTAATGGTTTTGTTCCTATAATGTGAAGTTGGGCTGTCGGTGTAGAAGTTGATCTGCTTGAAGTTGGGCAGGATGGTTTTTAATTGTGGCATGAGCTCTTTCAGGAAAGCAAAGACCGTGGAAGAATTATGCCCCATTTTGTCAGACACAAATACCATACTCTTGTTGCTGATCTACTTGTCTTCTGACCGGTACTAAGCCACAGCCGGATAAAGGGTAGCCATTGAGGAATTCCAGTATGCTGACTGTACCTCCTATACGGATTGGCAGGTGTAATTTTTGGCGAAGTCCATTTGAACGATTGCCTTATTCGCTGTCAGATTTTCCTTGAGTTGCTTCAGCTGCTCGTACTGCGCATGCTCTCTCACCTCCCTAGCATGCCCTCTGAACTTACTTATTTCCTCTTGGAATGTACCTCGAAATTGATTTTTCTCCATATGGAAAGTCAAGATCTTCATCTTCTTCTTTCCATCTACTTATACCCTCTTCCATTGTCTGAACTGAACAGCAATGGGTAGTTGGTCGATCAATTCTTCGACTGCCGCCACGTCTTTACAATCTTCGATGAACTTGTCCGGGTTCACGCTCACCTTGACCTCAAGTGATTTTATAGCTCGAAGCTTGATGGACAAGTTCTGGTGGTGTTGACATATGCAGCGGGAGTTGAATGACGTTAAGATAATGTATTTTGGCCTCCTCTCACAAAGTGCGGTTTTGCCGAATTTTGCCGATTTTAATGTCGGGGTATTCTGCTGAACTTTGCATGTAGACTATACATGTAGTCGTTCAGATACCTCCTCTAAACCTTTGTGCCATTGAACGTCACAAAGTCAGCCTTCCCTGGTATCATGCGAGAGTTGTCGCTTCTTTCCAGGAAGGCAGTGATTTTTCTGTGATCTCTTGTGACTTTTCAGGAGGTCGTTTCTTTTTCGGATGGGAAAACTTCGTATTAGCTCTTGCTAACAATTTCTCTGCCGATTCCCGTCATTCTGTTAAGGGTTCGCAAGCACTGGTATCTTTTGGTGATATTCCCAGATATTACGCTGTCTGTAAGACCGCGTCGGGTGTTGCTTCTCTGCAAATCCCCGTCTTGGACTGCTTGTCTTACTTCTGCTGATATCGCATGAAATAACACCAGTTGCTTTCGGATTTGACGTAGCACATTGCGCGGACTTAATCCAGCCTTCCTCAAATATGAGTTGCATTTGCTTCGAGGAGACTTCTCTGGTTCAGTAGCTATTTCCAATTGCTTGTTTTGTCCCTTCGATTTCCTGTACAACTTCTTCTGCAATGACCATATTTTTCGCTCTAATTTCATGTTTGTCTCCTGTAGTTTTCTGCCTCAAAAGAAACCCCGATTAGCTTTGTGCATGGAGCACCTTACTTCCGCTTCAGGAGATTACAATAACATCCGTGACTTATACTCTTTCTGAAACCTCCGTTACTAATTTCGTTACTTAGAAGATTCATGCGACTTTAATTCAAAACAAAGGCTCTATATATATTTAAAGTTTTAAAAGTGCACTTTCTCTCAAATCTTCGTTCCTGCGAAGGTAACTTAATCCGTGTAAAGTGGTTATTTCGCCTTTTTAAGTTCGCCTTTTTAAGTTGAAATCGTGAGCCACACATGCTTCGTGTATCAGATATCACAGCAAGAGACATTTCGCAATGCTTAGAAGTATCAAATAACCTACGCATAGTTGCGTGACTAAGAAACTATGCATCTCTGTACTCCCAGTTAGTTTTTAACTTAAAATCGCAATACTTGGTAAACACATGGTAAAGGAAGTTACGGTAGCACTCAGTAACGGAGGTTACTACCTGGATAATTTATGTTCAATCGTGTAACGGAGGTTACTAAAATTTGAGGACATTCTTGTCAAAATCCCTAAATCGAGACGATTTTTCAGAAATTAAAGGACGAATCCTCATTGTGAAATTTGTTGTGTGCTATATTTTAAAAGGCTAAGGAGGAGAAAACATTTGGTTCTTAGGAGATATGGATATGGTTTTATAGCTTTATAGAGTGTGGACAACACTATTTTTGACAATCAAGGCAACTTAAGGGTGTAAAAATCAGAAATCAAGTAAGCTCTTATTAACTTTATATCGAGATTTTGAAGTAAGCATTGTATACTAACAAACGATGCAAAAATAGTCCCAGTTTCATAGTTTTAAGTGTAACTAATACCTCAAAGACACGGTTAAATAGTTTTAGCTTGCTTTAAGGGGGATTGGGTGTATATCTATATTAAAGAACAAGGCTGTGCAGGAATATTGTCATAATATTTTATTTGCTTGTTTTGAAAATGAAATTAGGTGTTATAGTGAGAATTTGCGAAGTGTTCTTGGTACATAATTCGCAGAAGGCCGTTTCACCGGCCAAAATAATCTTTTTAGCTCTCGATTGTTTCGTTTTGTTTCAGTTGGTGATATCATTATCATTTGATAAGTTTGCTGCGCTATGTAAGAGCAGGGGTGAAAAAGGGTCAATACATGAGACGTGATTGAGGCCAAAAATTTATATGGGACGACTGAATTTTCTAGCGTGATGAGTAAATTTCTGAACGTGAGTGAAGAGTGATTTGCCTCCTGAAATATGCGTGACCCGAAAGAAAAAAGGCTTTTTCTTTTTTTTCATGAAAGCCTCAAAATTTTGAGATTTGAATGTCACCATCCTTAATAAGAGGCGCCTTAAATGCTGCTTAAAATATGCGTGACGCGTGAATTTTTCGAAAATGAAACGGAATCAGGACCCCGCTACTCTGCTACACTCATATGAACGATATATGGGTGTTGTTGTTCTTACGTCCGTATCAGTTACTCAAGTTAGGAAACTTCACCTCGATCAATAATTCATGTAGCCTAATGAGATGTTTGCCCAAAAACCAAAAATCCACATTACCAGCCTTGCCGAGTCGTGTTTGATAACCTGGGGGGAAAAGAAAAGAATTAGCCAATAAGACTGACTTTTTCCTAACGAAGAACTCTTTTTATATGCACAAGTTAACAGTATTGACACAGCTTTGACGTGTGTCGGTTAAGTACCAAAAATGTGCCAAACTTGAATGAAAATCGTTTGCTCAGTTCGGTAAATAAATTCCTTTTTGCTAGTTCATGAATTCAATTCTCTATGTTGTTAAAACATAATTTTCGGTGGGAAGATCGATGAAATTCTTTGCTGCCTTTCCAGACTCCCATTTCCTTCGCCCCGACAAAGTATTTCTTGCTGGCTAAGAGTGAAGAGGTATTCTTTCCTCCTGACTACGAGAAAAGAGGTATCGAAATGCAATCTTAGGTCTGTGGGTAATTGTCATAAATTATAAATTTTCGCCTGCTTTATTTGTCCACCATGTATGGCTACTAAAGTCTACTAAACAAAGAGACATGACTTGCATAATTCATAACTATTCTTATGAAAGGCTTACCCAACAGCTTTGCTCAATCTTATATTCGCTGATCCTCAGGAGGTGCGGACCAGAAAATCCTTGAGTGTATATTGAGGTAAAAGTCAAATTTAATAGAAATTTTTATCTGACCTATATTAAGTTGTTCTAATTGTTCTAATCGATAGCCAGTAAATTGCATTTGGATAAAGATATATTTTTTAGTTCCAAGGTTTTAAGGTAACTACCTCACTTTTCTTGATTTACCCATCTGGAAAAAAATTTGCTTTGTTCCTGCAAATTCTTGTCTGAAAAACCTTACTAATGTTCGCTATCTTTTACCATGGTTTTTCCTATTTATTTAATCTTTAATCAGTTTTAAAACTTTTCTCAAGAATTCAATTTATCAAACGATGGTTCTCTACTACAGTTGATGAGGTGAGTCTACTACCACAGATCGATGACGTGGCAGACTCTTAATTAGTTCACCACTTCTGAACAGTCTCTTAAATCATGGCCACTTGAAGTCACGCATGCTTAGGAATGGGCTTTTTTTGATCTCTCAATCCGATTGCATCGCCATGTACAGGGCCTTAACATTTTGTTTGCAGGACGCGTTGTCCTTTGCTTGCATTACACGAGGGGGGGGGGGGTTCTGGGTACTGATCCTATTTACTGATCCCGTTACGTTTGTGAAAGGGAAAACTTCAAATCTCAAAG